TGGCAACAAGCAAGCACGGGTGGCAATTGTTTTTAGTTAGCCCGTGCAGCTGCATTGCGGGGAGTGTAGGCCGGCCATGGTCATGGTTCCGTCAGCAGAATCTCTTGAACACGAGATAGGTAGAGGCGCAAACACTTGCGCTCGATGCGACTGAGATCAGTTGACAGGCACGCCCGCGGCAGGTCGACACTACTATCCCGGACAAACGAGATATAGAGACAGTCAGCCTGGCTATCTGATTCGGCACCGGTCAGTTTCTTGTATGGACCGATAGATGATAACGGGCTGTTGAGCTGCAGGGCTTCGGTCAGGGCTACACTGCGTGAAGTGCTTCGATGGAGAGGAAGCTGTGTTCGTTGGTCGGTTCGGGATACGAAATCAGCTGCGCCAAGCAGGTTGCTATCCAATATATACAACTAACTGCTGTAGTAGTACAGCATGCCTATCATACCACATACCGCATCATATACCTATTCTCTGCCTCGTCTGCCTACCTTAGGTAGCGATAGCATTTATTTGTATGACAGGAACAGACTTTTCTGTCCCGTAGATACTAAGTACCTAGGCGTACCTAGATACCTACCTACATCCTTAAGTAGGATATGTAAGTATGTGTATAGCGGGCGGGCTTGGTGGCGAGGTGGTCAACATTGCTGGCTTGTTAACCATAAATTTAGGTAGCGGGCATGCTGACAGGGCGCGCCATGCGGTCCCTTGCATTGTCTTCCAGGCCGTATTTCTTGCCTGTCTTGCCTTGTCTTGCCTTGTCTTCTGCGCGCACGCGGCCTCTCGTATTGCATTCTTGTCGCGCAGTCTCGTCACGCATTTGCCAGCATTGCTTCCGACGTGCAGTGGAGACGCAGTACGTGTTGGGCAGGGTTCTTCTCTACTTCCCTCCACTAGGGATAGGGATGCGTCTAGATTCTGTACCGACTTACGGTACCTCTCGCCTGTGAATTTTGACATTATTCCTCCGTGGGCTTTGCAATGAGGATATCTCTACTATCCAGTAAATAAGTATAGAAGTTGCTCTGCACTCCCCCAAGTCTGCTTCCCTCTTGTCTCTCCTTTCCTCTTTCCTCTTCCCTTTTGCCTCTCCTGCCTCCCTTTGTGTGCCTTCCCCTTCACGTACTATATCTACTTACTCACCTACCGTTGCACCCCAAAATAAAAAGCAGCTGCACACTACCTAACGACGACGTCATTCTAATAAAATGTTTTACAGCAGGGAACTGTCTGTCTGTACGACTGGGCCAATAGCATGTTAGCGGCAGATCTGAGAGAAACAAAAACGTCTCTAGCACTGTACGTGGACCCACTGATTCTGCACTGATCTAGACTAGAAATCAGGACACAGCCACGGGCCAAGATTCGTGGTCAGGCACCAAACACGTCACTGTCAAGTGTCTAGACTTTACTACTTACCCTTTCGAGTAACAGACTGAAATCAAGCAGGTACGTGTAGGTACATAGTAAATGTGGACGAAGGCACACACTGTGCAGCCAGGTACATATCTGAGCTTCGAAGCTTCAACTACAGGCCTCATGAAAATCACGCCCGTTCTCTAGAGTTTCTGGCAGCCGCGCGTGTATAACTCAGACAGACACACGCTACATATTTCAAAATTGTTCTGCCTATGGCTTCTGAAAACCCGGGTACTTTAAAGAGAAACCTTTCATTTGCAGAGGTACCGTATGTTGCGAGACACTAAATGCACGCGTGCCCTCTGTCTCCTTAGCTGCTAGCGCTGTCTTTGCGCCCAAGTGCACCGGTAGTGCTGTGGAAAGAGAAAATGCCAGTGCCATGCCACTATAAGTAGAGGTACTATGTACATGTAGGTAAGCCGGGCCACGTTGTCAGGCGATTTTGTTTCTTTAAAGCGTTGGATTTCTTCCTGTATGTATGCCCCTGAAATCAAACAAAATGGCAGTTAGTGTGAAGCGCCAGCCGGTAGCTCCGGTTAATTCGACCTGCCATCCCAACATTCAAGTGTTCGGAAGACAGCCCACGCTTATTCGCGACAACAGCAACTGTTCTCTATATCGCGAATCCTCTGCTATTTTGAGCTGTAGAAAAGAGCAAGTTGATAAGTGCCTCCCAACATGCCCACGGTATCCTAGGTATCTACATGCCTCTCTGCCGCCTCTTACCGAATGCCTACCCATGAAGTTATTTATATCCATAGGTACATAATTTGGGCCAGTCACCATTGTCTCTCGCACTGTACGATCTTGCCCAGGCACCCGACACACTCTGAATATACATGTACACAAGCCACATTGCATCGGCTGCAGCATCTGCATGATCCATGATCGCCCCGTTCCGATTGAGCCTGTTCCAGTTCGTTTAGACAGCAATTTGTGTCCATGGACGTAGATATCAGCCAAATCGTGGATGTCCACGTCTTGATGGCGCCCTTTCTTGTTTTCCTGTATCGCATGATGTTGATTACCTACCTCCTACAGAGTACATGTGCCCAGTCCAGCATACCTACTACGGTAGGTAGGTATGTACTTAGATCGTGGTGCTCCTTGCGTGCGTGCCCGCGGGTAGTTAACTTAGACGTCCCATCCCTCTTGTTTCAACATATTGATCCTGCTGCCTCTGAACTGCATCCTTCTACTATACCTACTATGTACACAGCTTACGAAGTATACGGCCTGGTTTGTTCACGTTGATATTGGGGGCTTTTCTTGATGTAACCCGAGTGCTGACACCATTCCGCTGCCGTTAACTGATAACGAACGGTATTGTCGTTCTCGCCGAAGGGATGGCATGGCTTGCAACACGAAGGCGACCGTATTATTAAATAGATATCTATGACTATAAGCTACCCCCTTACACATACATTCTCACGTACATGATTTTTCATTTATTGTACATTCATCTATCACATACCTAGCCTGCCTTATTATAATACAACTCTACTATTTACGACTGGAGGAGCCTGGCATGCCTAAGTACGTACTACTGACTGGGTGCTCAGCCACACGAGTTTGTGTTTGTTCTAGCGCTGTTACGGTGTCATTCCTTGTAGAGATGATTTTTTTTTTCTCCCTCGAGCAGAGCAGGTCGTAGAGACGGCCTTCTTGGCCCCCTTCTTCCGTGGCCTCCTTTAAGCAACGAGGATTAGATACCGCCACACTTTTGAAGAGCAGCTTCATTCACCATTTGAGGTAGAAAGTTACCAACCTACATCTCTAGGGTATTGATATTTGGAGGCTCAATCTGCTGTAGCTTGTCCGTACCTGGCATTATCAGGAGGTGGACATCTACCTAGGTATGTACCTACCTCATCGTAGGTAAATGTACTGCCCAGTGTGTACATATATAAAGTGCTATCAGACACGGTGAAGTCAGCCAGTAGCCCTACAAATATACCTAGATAGGTTAGTCTACATACCTGGTTAGCGCAAGCGTCCATATATGTACTCCAGTAGGAGCTTGGAGGAAGGTACCTCCCTCGCCTACCTACCCATCATAGGTACTGTACATATTTACAGATACGCCTCCTATGAGATGGATGTCGGTCGACCTTTTTATCCAAGGAACGCAATGTGCGGTACCCTCTGCGGCCTTACTTACTCGACTCTGCACCTGCGCTTTTCTTTTTTCCCTTTCCATCAACACCTATCTCTCTCTCCTCTCTCGTTTCCCTTCTCCTCCCTCCGAGTCGTCACTGGGCAACGTTCACCAGAGTCATCGTACAGCATCGCCCTCTAGCTGTGTCCCGAACCGTTGTCTGCTGCCTCCTCCTCCTCCTCTCCACAGACCCGACCCGCAACCACCCCCCACAGGATTGAGTCGTTGTGTCCATTCGTTTCTGTACTATTCATTTTTTTTGTCCCCTCTCTTTTGGTTGCCAAATTACATAACATAGTACTGTACTGTACACACGCGAGCGGTGCCTGGCGACCACGACCGCCGTCCGCCCTTCCCTGTCAGTAGTCTCCGTAATACCGATCGACACCATTTACGACATAGACATCCCAGAAACTGCACCACTCACGACTGAGCTTTCGACGTTCACTACCTATACAGCCGTAACTTTGCACCGTACTTGCGACCTTATCTCGACCTCGTGCTCCCGCTGTTTGGCTTTGGCTCGATCTTATCCCTCGTCCATCTCTTGCTCGATACTATCTCTCAGCAACCTCCTTCCCGCTCGTTACAGTTTCAATAGCTGGCGTTGGTGCAAGCATTGTTGGTGGCGTTGTGTTGTTCATCGTCTTCCCTCTAGTAGCTGTCGTTGTTCACGTTGTTATCGAGCACAGTTGTCCATACCTACCTACATAGGCACCATATCTTGACCTACTTCTAAGTGTAACCCAATTTTCGGCGTCAGGCCTCTGCAGCCATCCAATCATTGTCCTGCGCTTGGCCTACGTCCCAACGACTGCTGTGAATGGGCCATTGCGACGCCTGACGATAACTCAAGCCTGCATCTGTCTAGTTCCTTTCCGACTATTAAATACTACGGTTGCCGAAAGCGGACAGCCTGCAATTCTTGACGGCTTGGACGACTGGTTTCCAGAGTCTGGGCAGGGAATTGGACGTAATCATTGGGAGGCGTTGCACCCGCATCTTCGCGACTGGGGGCTGAAGACGCAGTCAGACAAGCGCCTCTATCTCGGCTAGGGTGGCCATTCCGACACACCGTTGTCACCCACTCACACCACAGAAACACGACTATCTCTAGTTCGTTGACCACTAATCCTCATTTGGTAGCCCATCATGGCTCCCGTGGCGCCCCGTCTAAAGATTCTATCTGGTGCGTGTTATTCGTTTGTCCCCATCCCGCTCTCTGAACTGCTTTTAAGAAGGCCTTGCGCCGCCCACCCCCCTCTCGTGCTACCTTTGAAGGTGCCCGCGTGTTCCTATGTCGACGTCGTAGTATCCCAAATTTTCCCTCCTTTAACACACTCGTTTACGTTGCCATCTTTGGAGCGGGCTTGACGACCCCGTGCCATCTGCCACGCCAGCCGTGCGAAGCGCTGTCATGGAGGAATCTGAGCTGATGCAAGTATGTTCAGTTGGAGGTAATGCTGTTTCTGCGTTTCTATCATGGAGGCTACAAGCCACGAACGCCTGCGATGTGACGCTTGTGTGGAAGTCGGGATTCGAGAGCGTCTACCAATACGGCATATCTTTCAAGTAAGCAGGCCCTGTTCTCTCCATAAACAAACCTATCTAATTCATTACTAGGTCGGCAACCTTCGGTAACGAGCGCTTCAAGCCGCGACACGGTATGCTTCCCATACTTTTAAATTTCTTGGAGTATCTCTGACCCAAAGCTTCGCATTATGCAGTGGTTAGGACACCAGAAGAAGCCGCACAGAACAAAGGTGGCGCATATGATTACGTCATTGTCTGTATAAAAGCGCTGCCTGACATTTACGACATCGCCGCCGTCATTGATTCTGTCGTTACGCCCCAGCACACATGCATTTTAGTAAATACTACTCATACCCTTGGTGTAGAAGCCACCATTGAAGAACGATTTCCGACCAATGTTGTATTATCTCTCGTTTCCAATGCCGAGATATCGCAATTAGGAACAAGTGAATTTGAGCACAGCGGTTCCACTGAGATCTGGGTTGGACCAGCAAACAAAAACAACAATATTCCTTTAACGATTCAAGAAGATATGGCTCAGGCTCTTGCAATGACTTTGAGTTCAGGTCAGGTGGATTGTAAAGTCTCGAAAAACATCCGACAGCAACAATTTGAACGAGTAATTGGGTAAGCTTGGCTGCTCACTCTCCCACCCCCACCTCTTCCAAAAAAAACGCATCAACTAACTTTGTAGGCCTATCGCATTCCATCCCGCTAGCGTTATCTTCGAAACCCCCTCACACGCTGCGCTTCTAGAGAAGCCAGGGGTTCGGCAGATGGTTTCCGATGTCATTGATGAATTGATAAGTCTTGCGAAAGCCGAGGGGTGTGCACTTAGTGCCGACTTTAAGGACAGGACGATCAAGGATCTAAGTCAACCTTCTGAGGCCACCAGTATCATGTGGCAAGACTACATTGCGAGGCGACCGATGGAAGTAGAAACGTTTCTCGGCTCTCCCATTAAATTGGCAGAGAAGTTGGGGATGAAGTTGCCTCGCATTGAGACTCTATATGCAATTTTTCACAATATAAACACGGTGAACCAAACCAGACCTAAGGAGATTAATGGACTTTCGCCTGCGCCTGGCTCACCGTCATCTTCGTCCCCGATGCCTCGAATCTCATCAGGTGGTCCCCCACGTCCTATGCCCAATGGAAACGGGATGCCTCGACCTCGGCCGAGGCAATCGTCTAACTTTGGGGGCCCGCCGCCTCCTGGCATGCGCCGCCCCCCTCCGAACGGCGGTCCTCCAAATGGACAGCGCCCTTCTATGAACGGCACGCCTAATGGTTATCCGAGACAGCCTTCGAGACGCGGATCCTTCGAAGATAACGACTTGGGAGAATTTAGTCACTTGGTGGTTTATGATGACGCAGAGGGAGCCAATGGTGGGACCTATCCCGGAGAGACGTCGGATGTCGCATTAAGAGAGAGGGAGTTCCAATTGCGTCAGCGTGAGTTGGATCTAAAAGAGCAAGAAATGCGCATGCGTCGAGGTGGCTATGGAGGACCACGGAGGCGTGCTCCTCTCATGCGGAATGGTGCCGGCATGTACGATGACGAAGATGAGGACGACGATTATTTCGACACGAGTGCAACTCCCGGGGCGCCCATGATTGACCCCGATAATTTCGATATGATGAGCGTCACATCCAGGAAGAACCGTTCGAAGCCGCCACCAAATCAGAATGAGATCCGCTCGGGTCACCTCAATGGGCGCGAAAATGGCATATCATCAAGGGGTAACCGATTTCGACCTAGTTTTGGGAGGAACCGCTCAAGTCAAATCATAAATTCCATCCCTAATCTACACGAGAACATCTTGGATGATCCTATGATGAGTTACTCTTCCAATCGGTACGGTAATGTCGACCGGGGACAAATTCATGCAGGGTCAAGGTCAAATTCTTTGACAACCTCTCACCTACAGGAGTTCCAGAATGGACCGGGCATGAATGGTGCATACCCTAGACGGATTAGTCAGTCGCCAGGAAACCCATACACACCTTCCATGCGTGGTGGAAACGGGCGCCCATCTCCTCCTAATGGAATGCAGCAACCCATTCCTCGGTACCCCCCTGGCCACGGCAATACCGTAGCACCGCAGCAGGTTGAGCAACGAGTCGGGGTGAGCACTCTCCAACCACCCCACGTGAAACCCATGCGAAGTCTGACCGGCAGTGCGAGTGCCAGCGCGGGGAGTGGTGATTCCACAAACCTAGGCTCGGAGCCTTCGGCGCATAGTAGCCAGAGTAGTCTGGGACCGCGACCTCCCTTGGGCACTCGGTAATGGCCCGAATATTCTAGGGCACGCAACTGCGAGCCGTCAAGGACCAGCAATTGGGGAAGTGGACGAGGTCTCGGCGGCCGAGCGAGCGGAAATCTGCAGGCGGCCGTGGCTGCCCTACCAAGCAATCAAAAGTCACGACGATTTCTAAATTTTTGAGTCATTCGGACGACGGCGCATACATACCGGTTTAGAGGGCTTCAGTTTGGATTACCACCTTTATGACACATTAATTCTATTCGGTTGAAGAGAGTCACGTACATAGGCATTTGATACGACAAGACAGTTGTTATTTATTTCTGGTAATATTGCATTGGGATGCGGGCTCTCTTCTATTCATTCGAAACGCATATACTTGTTTCTCCTTTGTATCACTTTTCTCTAGAGAGAAGGTTCCATTTCACCTTGCAGCGCTGGACTCCGGAATATCGACTCAGACAAACCAAGGTTCCCAAGAAACTCGCATCGCAAGGCTTGGAGGCGTAGCGAAGGAGTGTGTGACGACAATGACCAGGTCGGGTGGGATGGGGAAGGCGGCAGTGGTGTGTATAATCAGCAAGGGTACTGGAGTGCCTACAAGCCTGTTCCTAGTCCTCGCAGCTCCGCATCATGATTGATTTGAATCTTGTCGAATGGGGTTGGTTTGCCAGCCCAAGCGTTTTTAAAAAAAGGAAAAGGGAAATAGGGTTAGAAAACCTACCATGTGGGTTGCTAGCCAGAAATTGAGCGGGAAGACGGCGCCAGATGCTGGGGTTCTTATTTACGGAAGCAGACACCGAATGGAGAAGCTTAAAACATAATTCTGGTATATTAATGACGAAGCTTGCCTACTGGAAGAGCACTATTTCCATGACCCCTTTTCTCGTGTCAGGTGGAGTTTAATATCATGGGGATGCTCTCGACTATAGCTAGAGGGGCAGGGCTACAATAATGGGAACAATTAATGCTGTACCGAAGGAGGGCGAGATATTTTGCAAGCGACACGGATCAAGATGTCACAACCATGCCAGAGAGTGTACCAGAGAGGTACCTGGGCAAACTCGGTGCAGGCAGTTCAGTGGTATGAAAGCATCAGTTCGCGAGTAAGGAGGGAGGATACAAGCTACAAGCTTATCATGGCGACGGGGTAAAATGACACAATGGTGCCAAGCTCAATGCAATCTCACTTGTGACTACTTCAATTTGACTCATGGACGTGATTGTCATTTTTTATCTATTTAGGAACCCCCCCTTTGGTTTCCCGTTTTCCATCGCTGGCCGAGTTTTGTAGCGTCTTTGATATGAAAGAATGTTTAAGATGGAATGGTAGTAGGCTTGGGTACACCAATCTAGTGACATGACTCGTATTGCAGCTTCGTCATCTATCATGGCTGGGCTTGTTGCCTACCTACCTAGTAGTAGGTAGGTAATCATAAGGACATATAGCTAAATTTCCGTCACAATAGAGAGGGTTCCAATGATGGGTTCTTCTCTCCAGTTTCTATCAAGCGGACAGGTAGTAGGTCTGAGGCGTGGTCACTGTAGTGAGTGTATATTACCCCGCCTGTAGCGTGCAGTGTGTAGTGGGGGTTTGGTATGGATGGGACAGCTCAGAGCCTGCCTACATACCTAACAGTCTACCTAGGTACAGATAAGTTCCGACATCTCACCATCTCTGCATGCACATCAACTTAGCCGGATCGCTCTCAAAACATCGAAACAGCCAGTGGCATGACGTGAGGCGTCTTTCCCCCCACGCTCCTTTTTCATGCCGTCCGACAAGCGTCGTAATCTATCTAGTGTTGACCGGGTGTTGATGTCTTAGATCTCCGTTACATACAACTACAACTACGGCAGCTCCTCGATATTTGCTAGCCGTCTCTGCTGTGGCACGACAATACGCACCGCTTCTGGTCTATCTGTACCTACGAAGCCCAGCCTGCCTTCTCTTGTCTGCTTTATAACACTGACGCCAAGACGTCGAGGACCGCAACGCGTCACTATACGAGCTGCTTCATCCTGTGCTGTACCGTACAGCACGAGACAAAGCCCCTCGCCCGCGTATTGCAGTGCAGCTGGGGGAGCAGAGATTGAGGAGTCAACGCCACGTATTCCCGTCTATGGGAGTATTGCCTGAAAGAAGCAATAGAGGTACAGACTGAAGCGAAGGGCTGCGAAGCAAGACTCTAGGATTAGGGCTGAAAGTCTTGGCTGCGTCGCATTGAAGCAAGCAAAGACGCGTTAGCTGCCCGCCACCGGAACATCGTGAGGGAGCCTGCGCATCTCATACAGCCCTTCCCGCAGATCCCATCAAATCACGAGACGACACTTGCTCCTTACTATCTACGACGCCGCGTGTGCGTGTGCGTGTGCGTGTGCGGGTGTGGATTAGCACCGGGGGGGAATCCTCGGGAAGAAATTTATTGCTGAGCACGGTATCTCTTTCCAGTGTGAAAGGAAGGGAAGGACTCGACACCCACCCGACGGATACCTACATACGAACTTGGGCTTGGCACGAGATCAACGTCCCCGGTGCTCTGCGGTTCCTGACGAATTATACATCCACTTTCTCGCCCTGCGTATCTTTTGGGGTGTGCTTTGTGTTGCTGCTGTGGTGTCTACCCCAATTTCCGGTGCAGAAAGCAGACGCATTCCGATACCCTCTCTCTGTCTGTTTGTCTGTCTATCTACCTACCTCCCTGCTTTATCGTTCGATCCGGCTCGCACCGCCCCCCTATTTACACTGCGAGCTACTGCGCGGGGTTCTAGCCGAATACGCGATAGTCATATTCAGCGTTGACAGGGAAGAAGAAAAGTGTGAAAGATAGGGGTAGGTATGGCGAGTCGTGGCGGCAACATGGGCGGCAGTGGAGGTACGACGAGACCTTCTATGGCGCCGCAGGCCTCGGGAGGAGTGGTTAAGGCGAGACAATTAGTGAGTGCGACTTCTCCCTGATTTCATCCGTCGTCCTATCATCTTTAGACCTGTTCTCAATGTCCGTTTGGTTCGCCTGTTGGTTCATGTCTTCCATCCATTTCTCCGATTTGTCCCAAAAAAACGGCTGGAGACAACTACCATGCCATTAAGTTGAGCGTCAGAAAATGAAATTCAACTGTGAAATGGGGTCCCGACATGCCAAAAGCATTGCAACATGCTCGCCTTGTCTCATTGTTTCTAGACCAGCCATCTTCTGACAGCTGTGGAACAAAAACATAGACACATCTACACTCGCAATTAGCACAGCTTTCTGCGAATTTAGCAGACACGGAAAACCTCCTGCGCATGACGAGTGGACAGGCAGATGCCATGAGGGGACTGGGTAGCTGGCATGGCGCGATGTGAGTATTGACTTTCACCCCTGTCTGGTTCATCACATTTTCTCCTGTTCCACCTCGTTCCATGCGAAATCAAGCTGTAAAGGACCTATTGCTTTTTTCGTTTCATAGCCCTTTGTTATAGTTACTGCTTATAGCCCCATGTCACTGCGAAGCTCGTTTGAGATAAGGGAGCATATTTTAACTCGAGGATAGGTTTATGGCGGCCAGCAAAGTCCTAGGCGAGGAGTCGGCTAAAGAACATCAACAGCCCGATCAGAAATAAAAGATTACCCCTTCGACACAGTTATTGCTGGTACTTTAGGTGGTGAGGTGTTTAGTGGACGAACTATGGTCATACCTTTAGCGAACGATATACGGCTCCCTTGTTGCTTGTCTGGTGGCGGTGCTTACTCGATAGATCTTAGAGGTACAAGACGACTTCGTGTGTCTTCGAGGAATAGGATCGCGGGTACGAATGGAAAATAAACGTGAACTGTTGTTTGCTGTGCTTGAGGGCCCTGTGTGGGTGATGGACTACATTCGATATCTTGTCTTGAGTCCATAGGTGAAGACAGACGATTACAAGAATGATGAGAATCACATACAGTGGTGCCACGAAAAAAATAAATAAATAAATAATGTTTGTGCGTTGTCTCGCTATGTACTCCTGTTCCTGTTCCTGTTCAAGTGAGCTTGGGCAATATTTATAGGACCTTTTTGTTTCTCTCAATTTGATGGGATTTAGGTCTTGTTTACATGCTATTCATCCATCTCGTAGTATGACGATCATGTATATTGGTCGCAAAGTGCGCGTCTATGTGCGACCCATGGATGGCCAGCGTAGTTTTATACTCGGGAGTTAGTGGGTATCGAGTAATTTGTGTTCTCATTGTTACTCGGGCATCTGTTTTTTTATCTCAATGGTGGAAAGGATGCCATGTGCTGGACGTTGGCGGATTGATATTTGCGGGTCTCTACTTACGTAGTAGGAATAGACATTTCTCCAACCGACAGTCTCAACGAGTCATTTCACGATCCTAACTAAGTACTCACCTCATTGCTTACCAAACTTATTCCTCTATCCTAATTTCCTCCCCCCTTCTCATATTTCCCTTATAACAATCCGACATATAAGTCAGACAATCACTCATAACCTAGGTACTTACTTGGTAATTATGTCCTTCTACCTCCTCCTCTACAACACCCTCTCCCTACTGTCGTGGACCTACCAAACCCTCGCCATCCTCGCACACGCCTCTCAATCCGCCGCGCTTCGAAATGACATATTTAAGCTCGTGACGCCTGTGCAAAGCGTCGCGGCCCTCGACGTTGTACATGCTGCGCTGGGACTCGTGAAGGCTTCGCCTCGGACCGCGGCGCTCCAGGTCGGCGGACGGAATCTGGTCGTCTGGACTGTTATGAGGGCTTTCCCGGATCTTATTCTCGGGGATGAGAGGAAGGGCGGAGGTTTTGGGCGATTCGCGTTTGTGGCGTGTTTGATGGCCTGGGGAGTCGCGGATGTGTTGCGCTTTACGCTGTTTGTGGGGAATGGATTGGGTTGGAGGGTGGAGGGGTTGAGATGGTTGAGGTTTGTGTTTTTATTTCCATTTGATAGATTGATTGGGCTGATGAGTGCGTTAGGTATTCCGCTTTCATAATCCTCTACCCCGTAGGGTTCTTGAGCGAGGCCGCGCTCGTGTACCTTGGTCTTGTCGAGGGAGAAGGTATCGGGCCGATTTATAGGGGATATTTGTTTCTGGGGTTGCTGTCGTATATACCAGGTATGTTTCTTTCTGTCCTGTTCTTTTCCCTCGCTGCGGAATAGGGCCATGAGTTGTGTAATGGCGAGAAATACGTGCTGATGAGGGTTTGTAGCGAGCTATGTCTTGTACACGCATATGTTTGCGCAGAGACGTCGGGCTCTGGCTCAGGCTGGGCGCGCCAAAGGGACGTGATGGTCGTAGTGAGGTCTTCAAGGAAGTGTGCGTGGCAGAAAATTGATTTGGTATCTTACCATCCTGTTTACTTCACGTCTCCTGTGGCTATCTATGGTGCAGCCAGACAGCCGAATCACGTGCGCCGTGACACAGGAGGTACCGATTCGGAGCCATTAAGTTTTGGCGAAGAATGTCTCTGATACCGGAAGGGCTGGCAAGGGGTAGCACTCTTCAAGCATCTCAATAGGGGGTGCATCAATGGCTCTCTGTCCAGTCGAGATGTGCCTACGAAGGAGCTCCATTTGCTCCGTCACGAGATGGCTTCGCCGTGATAGAGGCTGGGGATGAATAGGAAGGGACGAGAAGAACAAGAGCTATGCACGTTTTTGAGAGACTAGCTCTTTACCATCTATCCAAAACCTACGAGACAGATCATCAAGCCCAGAGGCCCTATAGTTTGTAGTGTATTCCAGGCCTCAAGGATTCTCCAGGTACCTACATAGTATAGCACACTTCTAGCCTTTATATCTATCAATTGCAATACATCCATCGCCAACTGGCTCCATATCTAAACTCGTATCATCTAAATCGCTGGCAACAGCACCCCAGACATGCGCGCGATGCTCCTATCGGAAACTTGCCATAACAATGGCAAAGGTTCTACCCTGAGATTGAAACCATTGTTGATCAAAGAAACCACGTTTCCTAATAACGTTAAGATTAGCCGTGTGGATGGGTGAATGACGGCCGAGGCCGGGGCCCGTGGCCGAAAAGGGGGCTTCAAAGAGATGGCTCTAGATCTTGTATTAGAGCGTATAAGTTTCTAATCTACGAGTTTATACTAGTAGTGTGTCAAGATTCGGCATGGAATGACGACGGCCATTTAAGTCTTATGGTAAGATTCCTTCTCTAGCAGAAAAGGTTCTATTGAACACAGTAGCTTTGGGAGCAAGTTCTTAGTCTGTGATCTGGCGACAGATTCACCAGGGCAGAGATATTAATTTTAATCTCGGAAAATGACCAATGACTTCCTCGCATATGTTACTTGCCACTGTGTCGGGGGCTAGAGCTCAATGGGAGCTTTTCATCGAGGATTGAAAGAACATGAGGTTAAAGGGAGATCGTATTGAAAGAGAGCACCGCACAAAGACAATGCAACTTGAAAACAACTTCGCTATCCGACCTGAGAAGTATTTACCTCGTTTCCTCACTCTAGAGCCGAAACTCGTCTCTGCTGAGGTACGTACAGGCTCAATAGGCTAAGCAGCATCCTCGTCGCGACATCGTGATACATATTCAGTTTTTGACGTTGCCTGTTACTTGACACCGGGACCCGAATCTACCCATCATGGGGCTCACCATCAACCAAATCAGCGCCTGTGGCAGGGAGCTCTTTGTAGTCGACATCGTCTTCACCGTTGTAACCATCGGCTTCCTGCTGATGCGTTTCTGGTCTGCGCGTATCTCGAGACGCAAGCTATATCCGGATGACATCTTCGTGATTTTCGCATTTGTGAGTTGCATAATCGACTTGGTATATCTTTGAAATATGCTTTGACTAAGACGTATCGCCAGGTGGCTAAGTCTGTTCTGACGGGCGCGGCTTTCTGGGGCACCTTCAATGGATTGGGAAAGCATATCTATCTGCTCAACTTACAGCAGCTTACAGTTCAAGTCAAAGTGCGTATTTTCTTGACGAGGATTCGTGCAGTGCAGCTAACTCGCCTCTTCCACAGCTGTTGCTCATCAGTGAATTCACCTATACTTTGGGGACAGCCGCAATCAAGTTGTCCATGCTATGCTTGTATCATAGGATTTACACCACACCAACATTTAGGCGCTGGAACTATTTCGTGATGGCGTTGGTCGTTGCGTATATTAGTAAGTTGTCGACTGAATTACCTTTTCCTAACTCGAACGGTTCTCGTCGGGAAGCAGCACGAGTTGCAGAGCTTTGTCAAAATATCCTTCTCATCATGGTCGAAAATGGCGATTGCTGACTGTGAATGCGATAGTAACGTTTCTTCCTCTGTTGCTAACTAACTGCGTTCCTCTATCTCAGTATTGGGATCCCAAGCCGGGTGGGTGGTGTCGAGACACGCTCATATATGATATGGCCACGGTTGCTGCAAACTTCTTCCTTGATCTTGCTGTCCTTATTCTACCTATGCCGGTACTTTGGTCCTTGAAGATGTCGATCAGGGACAAGTTGACAGTCACGGCCATGTTTAGTATTGGGTTTGTGTGAGTAACCACCCAAATCCGCGCTTGTTAAATACTGACCGATGTCCATACAGTACTATCGCGCTTATTTCTTGGCGGTCAGCTGTGACCGTAAGAACAAGAGGCTCTCCGGATTGGACTGGGTCACTGTGTAAGGTAGGAGAAATCGCCACGCTCGAGCTTTACCTAGGAATCATTGCCGTCTGTATTCCAACGCTAGGACCATTGTTCAATGCCTATATGAAACCGGTTTTCAGCAAACTAGGCCTAACTACCATGGGAGCCCCAAAGTCAGGGCCAAACAATTTATATCTCAGGACATGGGGTAGCTCCGGCACGAAGAAGCGAGTTCAAAACTACAGCGAGCTCAACGAGAGTGCAGATCGTATTGTCAGCAGGGACAATTCGATAAGATTGGGTACGACGGGAGAGAGCAAAGTCGTTTCGGAGTGCACATTCAAGCCAAAACATGAGACGCTACTGCAGAGCCATAGCCAAGACGGAATCCACGTTCAGAGAGATATTGAGTCGCAGTATCATCCCAAAAAGACCCAATACTTCGAGTAAAAGCAAACTACCAGACTATGAGATGGATTTAGGCAGGCCGAGCATTTGAGAGGGGAGGTGTATGAAGCGACTATTCACTTCTATCAGAATTACGTATCACAGAACATGTATTTTCAATATTATATTGCATAGATGTCTCCACGACGGCGCCGTGGATGAGGAGCGCAACTTATGTTAATTATATCCTACTAATGACCTCACTGCGGTGAAGATGCTTAGTACGAGGGCCACCGCTAAGTTAGGTGATATGTTTTATGATCGTCCGACCAGATAGTGCTGCAACGTTGCTATCTATTAGATCATGACTGAACGCCTCTAGGTCGGGGTCCATGCAAGAACGTGCCGAGACCTCCCCATGCGTTGTAGATGGATTCGAGGAGGCTTCAGATTCGCATTTTGGCTAACAGATCGTGTTTAGGGGTCAGTTGGTGAACCCCAGACCTAGCGACATCAAAGGACGTGTCGCGCTGCCTTTGCGTAGACAATGGATATAGAGTGTATTCTTTTTCTTCCCTTTTACACTGATGGAACCTGTGCTGTGGCTAGAGTCGCTCAACCAGGCTGGGTCTTGTCTATTTTGAATGCGGTGAGAGATCCAGTTCACTTGCCGGTAGTGATTCTGACTGAATAGGGGCCTATTGTTGTCTTAAGAAAAGTCCTATTTCCTAATCTAGACCTGGCCCTTTCGGTTTCTTCATCTTTTAATTAGGCGACCGCGAATGATGACTTGACCGGCATTGACGCCTATGGAGTTGAATGTTGTCCTGTAATCAGTCCTCTTCTTCGGCCTACTGTATTATCACCTAGCCATCGAATTAGCCACGATTTTTTATCGGAAGTGGATAGTCTGGATGGCTTACAGTGAGCTATGAAGTACAAATTATAGGTTGATATTCGTATTGATAATGCTCATGGGTGCCGCTGGCCCGACCGCCTCTTCCCAGCTTCAACCTTTAAGCTTGGTCGGGGTGCAAATGCAACAAGAAAGGTAGCGGAGCAAAGTGCATACGCAGTAGCCTAGTTCCACGACTGCGAGGGGAGACGAAGTGATTACTCAAGCTATCTTTCAGGCAGCGTCCATATTTTTATTAACCGGCTCTAGTTTTTTGCTTGCATGTTCTGGGATGTTATCTGATGCTTGCATCCTGTTTGGCCGGCGTTTCTGGCGTGGGGTGTGAATAGGGCACCGCGTTACTCGGCCACAGGTGTTGCATTTCACGACCAGGACATCTGCCCAGGGTTTCTTGCCGTGTTTGCTCTTGTTCTCAACCACAGACGTACTTGTCTCACCTGGGACGAGCAATGTATCGCAGTACTTGCAGATTGTGTGTTTTATTGCTGGCGAAAGGCGTATTTGGCTTTTGAGAGACGTGGCTCGAAGATCAGTCAGTAGATGGCGGGTAAAGTTGAGCCTTAGCTGGTCAGAAGTAGGGGACGGCTGCGCAGCTAAAGGTTCCGACGTATCCTTAGAGATGTCAGATACGGCGGCGTTTTGGTGGGAAATGGGAGTTTTCCCAAGTTGTGATCCCAAAAATGCTGCTGCTTGGTGTAAATAGGATAGGCGCGAATAGAGGTGCTTATTTGGGATTGACCCATTTGTCTTTGCTTTCCCCATGGATGAGTCGGATAGCTACTCGTTCTCCTGAGGTGAGCCCAGCTAGCTGCTATATCCTTTGCATCTACTTATGTAGCATCAATAGAGATGCGAATAGAGATGCAGGTAGAATAATCTTCACACACAATACCTATCTACTGTACTACGTAAGTACATTCCCAATCTCGGAATGCAGTATGCAGGCACCTGGTGGGAACCAAGCTCCATCTGTCGACAGCTGAGCGGCCACAATAAGTACACATAGTAGGTACTATGTACCAGTTGGTTGCCCTGTGCGCCTTCCAGTTTTGCTTACAGTTAGTTTTGCACAGCCTTTCCTTCTGACTCAAAAGCCCACCTAGTCCGTTTCGGGACTAGTCCCTCCAAGCACCAGCAATGCCTGGCCCAGCCCATCACTGATTTCTCCTTCCAACCTGCTCGCTGATCTCCTCCGCGGCTTGCCTGTCTCGCCTGTCTAGCCTTTCTCTGTCAACACTGTCTGTCCACCTCTGCCTTTTCACCCTCCTTCTTCTTCTCTCCCTTCCTCTCCATTTGTGCAGAACCATCACGTTGCTGTCGGTCCGATACAACTTCATCCATATATATTCTTCTTTAGCTGCTGCTGCTATCAATTACTGAGTCGCACGGCTCTCCTTCCTCCTCCTGCTCTTTCAATACTTACAAGGCTCTACGGCCTCGCGCGCCCCCCCAACAAACTTATCAACATGTCTGCCGAGGAGGATCTGATCGACTACTCGGATGAGGAGCTGGCCACCAACGACACCGCGCCTGCTAACGGCAAGAAGGCAGATGCTGCCCAGTCCGGCAACAATGTCGACAAGAAGGCTTCCTATGTCGGCATCCACTCCACTGGTTTCCGTGACTTCCTACTGAAGCCCGAGCTTGTTCGGGCCATCGCCGATTGCGGATTCGAGCATCCTTCGGAGGGTTAGTCTTACATCTTACACGTTCCAAACCAAGCAAGCATCACCTATCCCTCCCTCAAGCGTCCGTCCTGTCGTCCGTCAAGCAAGTCTAGTCGCAAGCCATGGGTCGATGCATGTCATCGTCATCCAAGGAATTCACACCAGCCGGCAATGGTGGGACGCATTCCTTCAAGGGCAGCCTGTGATTTTGGCGACATCATCTGGCTTGTACCCCACGTTGAAGCAGAGGAGAAATGGAACAAACCTGCTCCAGCAATCTCAAGACTCGTGTCTACGGCCACGGTCTGACTGGCTTTTCGTTAAGCCTTTCGCACCTAAGGCAGATGACGTATTTGCGCAAGCTTTCAATACCCATCTGCCTCTGTCGACGACAATTGACCATCACTGCCTTTTGGCTCATGATGCGTCGGGAGCTTGATGGCGGCTTCTACATGTAGTTCCTCGCCGTCCGCGGACACCCGCGTCGAAGATTGATACGATGTTGGTTGGTAGATCTTGGCCCGAGATAGATTTCGGCGATCCTAGCGAGCGACTCGACGATGACGCACAGACGGACGCGATGGACGGACCTTTGTCGATTCCTTTTGCCGATCCCTTACCTCCCTTACGTTACGTTCTTGCATCCATCTTGGGAACCTAGTCTAACATCGATCGATACCTGCAGTCCAACAGACCTGTATTCCCCAAGCTCTTCTTGGTGGTGATATTATCTGCCAAGCCAAATCTGGTCTAGGAAAGACCGCCGTCTTCGTTTTGACAACCCTCCAACAAGTCGAGCCGGTTGCTGGCGAGTGTTCAGTCTTGGTGATGTGCCACACCCGAGAGCTGGCCTTCCAGATTCGTAACGAGTACAACCGTTTTAGCAAGTACATGCCGGATATCAAGACGGGTGTATTCTACGGTGGTACGCCTATACAGAAGGATGCCGAGATCCTCAAGAACAAGGAGACTCACCCACACATCATTGTGGGTACGCCCGGTCGTCTGAACGCCCTGATCCGGGACAAGTTCCTTCGTCTTGGAAGTGTTAGAATCTTCGTCCTAGATGAATGTGATAAGATGCTTGACGCCATCGGTAAGTCACTAATATAATTGTATTGAGCTAAACTAACCATCTTAGATATGCGCCGTGATGTGCAGGAGATCTTTCGATCAACCCCAACCCAGAAACAAGTTATGATGTTCAGCGCTACTCTGTCTGATGACATCAAACCCATCTGCCGCAAATTCATGCAGAACCCCACGGAACATTATGTCGACGAAGACACCAAGTTGACACTGCACGGTCTTCAGCAATACTATCTCAAGCTCGAGGAGAAAGAAAAGAATCGAAAGCTGAACGAGCTTCTTGACGAGCTGCAATTCAACCAAGTCATCATCTTCGTCAAGAGCACTGTTCGTGCCACTGAACTTGACAAACTGCTCCGAGAGTGCAACTTCCCATCCATCGCAGTGCATTCTGGCGTGAGTCAGGAGGAACGGTAAGCAAATTCACATAAGCTGAGGGACCGGAGCCTAATGCATCATAGTATCAAACGGTACAAGGAGTTCAAAGAGTTCAACAAGCGAATTTGCGTTGCAACCGACGTCTTTGGTCGTGGTATCGATATTGAACGTATCAACCTAGCTATCAACTACGATCTTCCCGCGGATGCTGACTCTTACCTGCACCGTGTCGGACGTGCTGGCCGTTTTGGTACCAAGGGTCTCGCGATATCTTTTGTGAGCACCGATGCAGACCAGGAGGTTCTCAAAGCCATTGAGAAGCGATTTGAAGTGGCTCTACCGTAAGCAGATGTCTCTTATCTTATTCAAATCTATGTGTGACTGACAGGACCATAGTGAATTTCCCAAGGATGGCATCGATGCCAGCACCTATATGGCATCGTAAGCCTCGATACAATTCAGTATCGATCTCTCCTTGCTACTTGGTTTTTCATAGCCGCCTTCCTCGAGTTTCGATTTTAGTTTAGTGCAGTGCTTAAGTCAACTAAGGAATTTGAAAAAGTTCGTCTAACAGGGTATTGCGCGGGATTTCTCTGTAAAAGTATGCTCATCTACACGAGAGGGACGCGACTCCCCCATTCTTCGCTTTCAGCAAGGATGCTGTCCGGCTCAGATCGCAGATTGATGAGATTTCTATGGAGGCGACGCTCATTCAATACTTATCACGCTCAGGTGTGACATATTTGTGCAATGCGTCTTGAGCAATGGAGGACAGATAGGATTCGTAGCTCCTTCATGATTTCAGGAACAGTCAACAATAGACTTGTATCAAAATATATGTGGTAACTGCTAGTTATTGATGATTTGAAATTACGTGATTCACATTTCTTGTATATTTATATGTAGTATGTCCTGTCAATTATCATGATAATAGTCGCTATATGTACATGTTATTCTATTCTATCTATGACGATGTATTGGGTTGGTATAATTTAAGAACGGGAAGGTAAAAGCGAAAAAATATGGCAAAGAAATGAAATAAATTGCTGGTTATTTATATCTGCTTTGGAAAAGAAGCTAGGGTTTATGATGTTTGTTTGTGAGTATATGGATAGGTAGGTATCGTGTTGGGAAGTGTAACTCTCATTTAAGAGGTATTATAACATCGTTTGTTCCTGGCCGCTCTCTGCTATATAGGTAGATAGATATGTAGTTCGTTCCAGGTAGATTGAGGTGAATTGTAGGAGCAACTGATAGGGGCGTATTCGACTGATAAATACGTTTGTGAAGGATTTTTTTTATTCATTCCTTTCATTTTTCTCTGGAAGAGTAATGGCTGGATATTTGAGAATTTGGTGGATTTACTTACACCTCTTTCTCTTTCTCTTTGCTTTGCCTGCCTGCCTGTCTGTTCTGTCTAGGTGACTAGGTAGGTAGTCAATTTTCTATCTATCTCGCTCCAAAAAGCAAGGCGAATATTCCACTAATTTGTATAGTATCTAGACACGCATCACATGGCGCCAATATCAGTAATGCAAAGGGTTTCGTCCCAAAATGGAAAATGCCAAAAAACAGTTCTCCTGGTTCTGTGCTATTAATCTTAATCTTTGTTTCATATCTAATATTTCAAACAGCGTCATCACCTCTTGGTCCCTCATCGGGCCGGGGTGATTTAGTAGAATCTGCTCTAGAAGTCCTCTGTTGCAGCTGCTGCTCATCTTCACGCCGTTGCAATCTCCTCGGGCTTCTTAATATCCAAGGCTGCCCGCTACTACTCCCCGTTGGACTGGCGACGGCGATGTCCAGGTGACTATTGCCATTATTGCTATTTCCACCAGCCTGCCGCCACCACCTCATCCTTAAGATCCCGCCCAGCGCATCTTGCACACCGAGGTTGGAGGAGCTCCTTCGGCGGTCGTGCTTACGTGCTATGAATCCAGGGAACCCCGTAGATTTCCGTCGGCGGCGGAACATTCTACGTGGACTTTCCCCGCTATGGCGCTCCCCTGAACCACTTGCAGGCGCAGCTGGTCCACCTGGCGGTATTCGCCGCCCAGAGAGCAGCGGGGTGCCCTCGCTCAGTGTGTGACCTGTTGGCAAGGTACTTGACCGTGGTCTACTAGGCCTAGAGAGCTGTTGATCCTCTAGTTCGTCCCAGATTTCTGTATTCCAGGGTTGACCTGGTTTGTGGTTTGATAAAAAGGGTATCGTCTCATGGCTGGAAGCGAATGTATCATATGTAGGCCGAATTGTCTCCCCTTCTTCACTAAGAAGATCAGAATCGACTGCTGAATCATCCTCGCCTTCTGTGTCTTCTACAAGTCCGAATCCTGGTGTTAAAGATGATTGACCCACGGCTGGGGGGTGTTGCTCATCGCTGAGGCGCCATGATAAGGCTAGAACGCCCGAAAGTAAAATAGTAGTGCCAAGGGCAATGAGCCAGCCGTGCAAGGGTGTAATTAGATCCGTCTGGCGGAAGTATATCAGGCCGTCTAAAATGGCAATAATGTTGTAAATGCAAAATACAAGTGGGTATAATACTGATGTGGAAACTAGTTTCAAGCCGCGGTGAAGATAATATAGCTGGCTCAAAGCGAGGGCGACCAGCCCTAGGACAAGAATCCATGACTGCCAGTGTACAAACTGGTTATCGCTATCGGCAATTGTTCTCAAGATTAATTCGACAGCTGATTTGGCAAAGAGCAGGGAATGCGCGGAGAGGATTCCACTGATGCAACCATAGGTGAGGCCTCTTGCTAGGCGAAACTTTGGATTCTGTGAGATGTTCTTGAATCGATTTATGAATTCAATGGACAAGGCAATGGTGAGGAGAATCACGGCTTGCAGTGACATCCAGACAATGAACTGCCACCTTCCCAGTAATTCCAGCAGTTCTGACAAGCTGTGCGCTGGGGAGGGTATGGCACCGAAAACGGCTATCAGCGCAGCCCCTAGAGCAACAAGTGCCGTTCCCCAGAAGGACCATTTCGTGAAGGGCTCGTTGAGTATCAAGGTGGCGCATATTGAGTTGAAGACAAGCCCGGCGGCCTGCAAAGTTGACAAGACCGGTAAAGGTAAGGTAGAAATCTGTATCGAGCTTCCAAACACATTCGAAATGACAAACATGCCCATCCCTAGCTGCCACCTCCGCCTCCGGTATGGGGGTCTCTGTAGTTCATGCGGTCGTTTCTCTTCTTCAAGCATGTGGGATTTTCGTTGCAAAGTGAGGCCGAGGGACTGAACGCTGGTGGATATCAAACCGACCACTATCCCAATCTATATCACACAACAAGCAAGTATTAGCAGACAATGCATACGGACCTTGGTTATTCTCAGATGCAGTAACGGAGACTTACAGCGAGTGTGCCCGCAGGCGACACACCGCCAAGTAGCCCCATGGCGAGAAGCTCGAAGCAATGATCATCTGGTATAGGTGGTAGACAAAGGAGAGTCTTGACAGCAGCGCATGAGCCGTGACGAGGTGGTTCGAAGCGCTAGTAGTAGTGGGGTGTCTCCTTTAGTTGGACGCTCTGAATCGGTACGCGAAGGGAGGATTGCTGGGTTTTGGACGCCGGGGTCTTGCGCTTGGTCAGAATGAACGGACCTAAGAAGCACAGCTTTAATCTGAAGCGTAATTATGCACGGATTGAATACAACCGGTAGGATCCGCTTGTTCGTCACTCGGCAAGTTGTATTAGCGGTAAAGCAGGCGATATAGATATGTGGTGTAGTGATAAATGAGGCGAGACAACATGTGTTGGGATTAGAGGTGTCGTAGAACGGAGTCTGAACGGAGGAAGAGGCCAGCCAGGGACCAAATGGATACGGACGGTACTTGAGACCATGTAAGTACTAGGTATGTAAGTATAAATGTGGAGTGGGTGTTCGACGCTGGAGAATTGCGGGCGGCGTGCAGAGAACAAGCTCTGAACAAACAAGGTACAAGCTACCCTGTCCCTTCACCATATCCACTGCTCAACAAACGCTGCTCTTTTTGTACCTGGGTACGTCGTACTCGTAGCAGAAGGTGACGTACAAAGGCTATAATGGGTTAGGGGGCTTCATATTAAGCAGTCTAAATAACCACTAGCTCGTAGGTAGTAAGTCATGGAGTAAGTCATGGAAATAGTTTGAGCTCAAACGCTGGTCCTGGAACACTGTGATGCTGCCTCACCTTACCTAGGCAATGTCTATTATATAGAAGTCTAGGAGGAGAACAAGGAAGAGAACCAGTGCTCCCTTGAATAAACCGTGGACTAAGCATGATGTATAGAGAATCAAAAGGATCGTGTAAGATGGACGATCAGGTGCGATAGGTGTGTGAGTTGGCGGTGGAATACTTGTTAGTGATAGCCATGGGCATGCTTCAACAACAGCTGATCTGCAAACAACAACCCTCCAAACAACTCCGTTGGTGTGACCTACGGCCGTGCAACTGTGCGACTGCTCAAGTGTCTTGTAAATCTGGTAAATCGATGCAAGTGACCAACACCGAAGCACCGGCACCAAGTCATTCCGCATAGGCGCACCCGTCGGCTTGCAGCATGCAGCTGGGGGAGCTTGGGAAAGTGGCTGTGCACCAATCCAGCTCCACGTGAGTCCATGTTGAAGCCACACCTAGCAACCTCCTATCAGCCTCCTATCAACCTCGGGCGGTGGATCTGTCTCTGGGCCGGTGTGGCTTGCGCAGTGCGTCACCCGACGTGAGCTCCAAGCTGCCCTGTCCTAGCACCTGCAACTCCACCACAGCCAGCCAGCCAGCAGCAGCCTTCCAGCCATTACCAGACTGTTACGAACCTCTTATCATTTAACCATCTAGACACACTCAGCTCCTTCGTGAGACCAGAAGATCCGATCCTAGGAGGAAACGATCTCAAATCCTTCTATTAACCCTCTACCTAACCACAGACATCACCAACCCACCTCCAAGATGTCGCAAGTCCACGCTCTGTCCGACGACCAGGTGAGCAGCTCCACTCTCCTAATAATCACTTCAACTCCAAGCACGAATATACCCCCGTCCAAGTAGGAAGCTCCTTGCTGACAGACAATGACCCCAATTCACAGGTCGGGCAAGAGCTGCGGAAGATGACAGCCTTCATCAAGCAAGAAGCAATCGAGAAGGCCCGCGAGATCGAGATCAAGGCAAACGAGGAGTTCAGCATCGAGAAGTCGAAGCTGGTGCGCGAGGAGACGGACGCCATCGACGCCGCCTACGCCAAGAAGTTCAAGCAGGCGTCGATGACGCAGCAGATCACGCGGTCGACGGTGGCCAACAAGACCCGTCTGCGGGTCCTGGGCGCCCGCCAGGAGCTGCTCGACGACATCTTCGACCAGGCCGGCAACAAGCTCGCCGACGCCGCCAAGGACAAGGCCAAGTACAAGGCCGTGCTGAAAGGCCTGATCCTGGAGGGCATGTATGCTCTCAGCGAGGACGAGGTCGTCGTCCGCGCGCGCAAGGCCGATAGCGGCGCCGTGAAAGACGCTGCGAAGGACGCCGAGAAGGTGTACGAGAAGGAGACGGGCAAGAGCTCCAAGGTGAACCTCGATGAGAAGAACCCGTTGCCAGAGGGAACGTAAGTTTTCTCTTTTTCTTGTTGTACGAGGGGCCTGGATTCGGGTCCCTGCTATGTTACCCCTTTACACGCCACCGTTCTCACCTTTATGTGCTGACCATTTCTGACACGAATAGATCGGGCGGTGTGTTCATCGTAGGAGGCAACGGCAAGATCGAAATCAACAACACCTTCGAGGAACGCCTGCGACTGCTACAGCTGAGTGCCCTACCAGCTGTGCGAAAAGCCTTGTTCGGGCCGAACCCGAACCGCAAGTTCTTCGATTGAGAGGCGGGCAACTCGGCTCCTTTGATAAACAAACTTGGGGGTTGCTTATTTCCCCTTCTTCCCTGCGCCCCATTCACTAACCTTACTTACTTACTCCCTACACACTTTATTTCGTGTGTGCAAGTAACTGGCTTATTGAAGTTGAGTGAAGACGGGGGCTGGTGAAGCTCGGTAATGGAAATAGAAGCGAAGTGAAGTGAAGTGAAACGAAACGAAACTTGGATGCCTAGCTAGTGGTATCAGCAAGGCATTCCGTGGAAAAAAGCATGTTATGTCCCGTCCGTCGAAGAAACAGAAGGAGGAGATCAAGGACGACCCCTGCATGCACCCATCAGTGAGGGCCAGACAAGTCTTAATGCGTTCTGTCCTAAATTTTTTTGTTTGCTCGTATTCGTTAGACAAAGTCAGTCAGTTGTATCATACGGAAAGCTATTACATGGAGCTCATTGCAGGCGAGGTGTCATAATTGAATCAAATATTATTTTATATCTTGAATCGACCTCCGAACAGATATACTATTACTCTTACAACGGCAATTCAAACAAATCGTCTGGTATCCGCAATTTGTTATCCCACAGCCACTGGCACGTTCTTCGCCGCGCCCCGCCGTCGCCCACGGGAGGCTGCGTAACCGGCCCTTTCCAGCACATCGTCTTCCCTATGTTGTTGCTGTTGCTGTTGCTGTTGTTCTCTCTCCGCCGACGCATCCTTCTTCTTCTGCGCCCACTGACGCATGAAATCCCGCTGTTTAGGCACGTTGATATCCCCGGCAGTCGCTGGCGTCTCCTCCAGCGCGAAGATGTTCTTTTTTGGCGGCGGTTTCGTGCGTACTGCGTATTTAAGCCGCTTTTCGAGGCCGAGGAGGCTTAGCTTCACGTTCTTCCTAGAGGCCTTGTCGCGAATCCGGTCGTGGATGACCTTGACGCGGGCGGCGAGGATGTCGATTTCTGCGTTGAACTGCTGCTCTGCGGCTGCCGATCCTTCCTTTTCTGGTATTTCTATTTCTGCTTCCGGAATACTAGGTTTGGATTTGGGTGTTGGTGTTGAGCTCCTGGCGCCACTGGTCTTCTCTGTGTCGCGACGTATCATGAAATCTGCGCGGTCGATGACGATATCTATGAGCGTCGTGAGAGCCCTGAGCTGTTCGAAGTCGAAATCGGCTTTGTTCGTAGGCTTGAAGTCGTCTGCATCGAGACGGTTGCGGATCCTCTCAAAACTGAGGTACCGGTCTATAGGCTTGCGGCCTAGTCCCGGTTTGTTGAATAAAGATTCGGCTGCTATGCGCCGCCGCAGGTCAACTAGGTGTGAGCTTGAGCTTGGTATTGATACAAGAGCTGTGACTTTGAGCTCGGGATCATCTATGTTCTCGTAGATGTACGAACATATGGCATCACACTGGTCCTTAGATTAGCTGTGTGTTACGCGAATCAAATGGGGTAGATAGAAGTGATCAAAGACATACTGCAGTGTTCCATTGAGATTGAGATTTTGCTAGACTTGATACTAGCACTGTCATTGCGCGCGTATGGTATTCGCGCACAACTGAAGAAACAACTGGGTCCATACTCATACGTAGTAGAAGCTGGATTGCACTGATAGCTGATGATATTTGCAGAGACGGCGCTATTCGCTCTAGTAGCTGTAAGAAAGCAACCAAAGGAGTCCAATTTCGCTTGAGATACTCTTGTCGAATTTCTGCCGTGCTCTTGAATTTGCTGTGTTCTCGAGCATATTTTGGGCCGCCGACGACTTCGAGCAAAGAGTAAAGCCGCATATCGTTAATGAGGCGGTGTGTATTATCCTCGCTTAGTTCAGCCAAGTTGATATACTGTCTCCGTAGCTCAAGGTTCTGTTCAGTGCAGATCTCATCGAGGATCCACTGGAAAAGCTCATCCGGAAGAGTTTCCCCTTTGGCAAGAAACGTGTAAGGCAGGCCCATTAAGAATGCCTGACGCCTCGTGCCTGATTTAGATAGACATTTCCAGGGGCCAACGACGCCCTTGCGTGGAAAGGTATGTTTGGCGGGGCTAGAGGGGGGCTCCTCTTGAGAGAAAAAGTAGCAATGCTTGCGCGATGATGCCTCATCATCCTTGGAACGCTTGAAAGCTCTGCGAACCTTGTCACCCTTTCCTCCTTCGTCGTCATCACCAGCCAACAGGTGGTTGGCGACTTCATCTAGTCGTTTTGGGTCATTCTCGGCATCCGAGTTGTCCGAATCGTCGCTCCCCTGCTCCGTCTGGGCGAGCAAGGCGTCAGCCCTCCTAACGCTCTCCTCAGTTCGTTCTATCTCCCGAGAGTGGTTGATAAGAGCCTTCAAGTCAAACTTGTGCCTCTTTGGCTGTAGCGTCAAAGGCGAGCGATGTATGCCTGAAGCTATTCTTTTAGCCTGAGGTGTGGATAGTACGTTAGGATCACGCCTATGAGTGGCAGGGCCGGCTCTATAACCGAGGGCGCCGGTGATTGAACCTAACGAATCATCTGAGTCGTCATCGGACTCATCAGACCCTTTGATCTCGTCGTCGCGTTTGAATACACGTGGGGCTGTTTTAGGGGTCTTGGGGGTCTTGGGGGTCTTGGGGGTCTGGGGCGATGAGAAGATGTCCGAGCCTAGAGGTGCAGGCGAGGCTGGCGAGGCTGGCTGCTTCTGAGTCTGAGAACTGGATGCGCCAGCAGATTTGAAAAACCCTCGAATGTCCCCGTTCTTCTTTGAACTCATCTTGCGTCGATGAAGGAAGCGCCAAGGACTTGTTCCTCAAATAATTGGGTAGATGAAAGTTTATCCCTGACAATTCTACAGCCTCGTCGGTTGATACAGGTAGCTACGGCTGCTAAGTTGATTATGCCACTCAAAATCATGTGACCTGACCTACTCGTACTTCGTAAAGCGTCCGATCTGAGATTCAGAGCGTCGTCTTGACATGTAAGTAAAAGACAAATGGGTACTTAATGGTTCACTACCGAACGCTTGGCATATCTGGATTCGGACTGTACCTTAGGTAGGTATTCTCGGATCTCTGTCGCGTTGTGCAGTACTGGTAGGCTAGATCGTTACTTGGGTAAAATGACACGACGTTGACGCGTTCCTGGCGTACCGGTACTACAACACTAAATTGGTACCTAACTAGGAACCATAGGTACTGGTCCAAGGGGTACTGTAGGTGGTGGGTGTCTCTATAGTACAGGGCAGCTGGGCCTATTCAGTTGTGTTAGTGAGTAGAATGCTTGGCTCCAGCCCCGTGGCTCTTGGGATAGGTAAGTACCTAACCTAGAAGGCCCGGAATTCGATGGGAATGGTGCGTTTAGCGACCCTGGAAATCCTGAAAGGGACCTATAAGAAAACCTCATAATCAGCTACAACCCTACCTTGGTCTGCCTAGGCGCTTCATATACTGGTAAGCACTCATTCACTCTGTGCATCGAGTTTCCATGCTCCAATATCAGTCTAGGTAGGCTCTGGTAGGTAGGCCGGGGAGGAAAGGCACGATACAATGCCTGCTGACCGTTATGAGCATGCCTCAACCTGGGCGCTTCCATACCCCACAAGGCGGCTCACAGTTTCTAATCTTACGCTAAGGATCCGGCACGGGAATGGAATTGATAGGTTGTTTTAAGGGGGTGTCTGTGGGAGTTTGAGAGGTCTTGGGAATGTATGACAGCATCCTTCTAAAAATACAAGTAAGCAGCCTACCTTACCTGGAATGTCGGGTCTTGGGGTCTTGGGCCTTGGATGCAAGACGATCTAATCTGGCAGTCTGGTGGAGGGAGGGACTCTCAATTCATTCCCAGTTGCTGGGCCCTCGGCAGATAGTTTGTAGGCGCCCATGTGTCCTTGCTTCGATCTCTCGGTTCGATATCCGGGAAGCTGCCACATTACAGGTCTCAGGACCGTATGGCCGACTTGCCAATCCCGACGAGCTGAAAATGGCCACTTTCTTTGCCCCAATGGCCCTACACCCCTCTTGATTGATTCATGAACACAATGACGCAAGTGTTCGATGAGATTCGGTGTTCGAGGAAGCTCTGCATAAAGATCTGACTACGCCACCATCTTGACCATATGATAACTCGGAGCATCGGGTGTAAGAGTAATTGTCTACCACTACTCCCCGACAGCTTCAACGACGAGTGCAGATGGAATCTGAAGGATTGGGTGGTCTTCACATGCTGACAGTACATACTTATTTATGTGTTAGCCCAATACCTAGGTGGTTATATGTCAAGCAAGCATGAAGTTAGGTACTGTACAGCACTTGGAATACTCGTCTCCACTTCGTCGGGGTCAAGAAAGCGCCCGAGGCCTTGGAGCTGATTCACACTAAAAGCTCGTCCCGCCCCGGGTGAGTCGGGCTCCCGAACTCTGCGTCAATTCCCATCCAGCAGTATTCCGTCAAATTGTAAGATGGCGTGGTATTGCATGTGAGATAGATTAGAAACACAACACCGAGCAGTGTTTTATTGATGTGTCCTGTAAGTACGATACCTGTAGTGTATGGGAGTTTATAAGTACATAGGTACACTTCTTTGTTACCGAGCAGGGGGCAGAGAACAAGGCTCTCCTTGTATTAATGGTACTCGCATGCCTACCGTACGAAGTACTGACTGATAGCGATACCTTGGTTGGAGTAATTCATGCCTTTCCACCTTGATGACACCCTGCTCGTGGCCGTTCATGTCTCAACGGGGACAGTGGCACCTGCCATTGCCGGGAGGCCAGGCATAATGTACGCTACCTACCTAGGTAGGTATTTGACATTTGTCATAAGCTCTCTGTCACCTGCTGACGGAATGCCAGGCAGGATTGGGGATGTGTCCTGTTGTTCTTTACGGCGCAAAAGGCATACCTAGGGATCTTGATGCACTACTGAAGTTGAAACTCAGCACCGGGCCCTGAGATATCGTTGTGACCGTGGGACGGCTATCCGGGGCTGGGAGCTCGGGTTATGAGCTTCGCCATGATGCGATCTTCTGACACTACCAAGTAACACTTAGGTAGGTATTGTAAACTCGGGGCTGCTCGGGGCTAATGAGTGAGGCTGTGCTAGGACCTCTAGCCGGTGTGGAGTCTAAAGCATCACATAATGTAGGTCAGTGCTCGAAGACAGCCGACGGCGTCTACACCTTTTGGACGTACTTAAAGGAGCAAAGGAGTAAAGGAGCGGGGTGGTTGGCCAGTCTATTTGACCCAGCTTCTCCGTCTACGCGCGTCCTTGCTGAACAATGGCTATCAGAGAACCACATTCTCCCGTAGTAGGAAACATTCCTCGTTACCTTGAGTAGGTAGGTCAGAGTAGGTATACAGATGTCCCAGGCGAGCCATACCTGACAAAGACAAAGTCGGCACTACTGTCAAAATAGGCAGTAAAGGGTCGTGGGTTACACCCAGTGATGTACGGTACCACGCGCCACTGTGTCAAGTTCGAAGTGCTGACTAGGATGGTCGCGTTTATTTCCGCTTTAAGTTTCCGAATAATTCGTTAGTGCAATCATGAATGCTTCAGGTGAGATTCTGAAATTTGTGCTACATGTAGTATAGTGTACAGTGCCTGGCGTAGGTAGTACTAGGCAGTGCACTTGGTTATACCAGTCGCTGAGGATAAAAAAAAGACAGGACGAATGACGGCGGGAAAGTGCCCCAAACTCTGTGCCACCCACATTTCGAGTGTGTGTTGGTTTAGAGCCGTAATCGAAATGAAGAATATGCAGTTGGTCTCTATGTAATAACAGCTAACAGTCTCCATTGAGGAGATGGGTACCGGTGGCTGTGACGAAGCATTTAGATATAGACGTTCCTGGACGTTCCTAAATTATGCTTGGATATGAGATTGTCATACACTAGTTCGCTACTTGGCGACCTGCCAAGTAGGGGTGGGATGTACATGCAAATCTATACATTCTCATGCCTACCTCCACTTATAATAGTACCTACGCAGGCGAGGCGGGCAGTTAGAGCTTGTTTGGTTCTCCCATTAGTTAGTAAGTACTACGGGTAGTAGCTGACTCATTGAGAATCTTCTTTGAAGAGTTTTTTTTTTTTTTTTTCTCTCTCTCTCTCTCTCTCTCTGTTAACTCGCCGGCTGAAAAATGAGAGAGTGTTAGCAACATCCATACAATGATAAGATGCCTATACTATAGAATATGTCTCCTTCCTACATAGTTGCCTTCATCGATCTGCCATGAGATGGTAACCGCTTAGTGGCATATCTATTTAAGAACATTCTCCACCAACAGGATCAAGACCCTGAAAAGGCGGCTAGGATAGCCGTCTCTTTCATATAGTAAGTACAGTAGAACTCGGAGATAAAGCACCACTTGACTGAGTCGTTCCTATTCAACTACTCGCGAATAATGCGTGCAGCCTTGATGAGGGCAAAGAACATGTAAGTAATGTACCCGTCAACCAGGTAGGTGATGGGAAAACTTGGATGCAATGGATGTCTATCTATCCGTACCTACGGAGTATACTGCAGCCTCAAATGACACAACATCAAGGTACCTACCTATCTCCTTCCTAGGTACAGGCTGGAGGTACCGTACTACCTGCATTAGGTGCATAGCATTGAAGGCGGTGCGCGTATTACTACCTACCTGGTGTACACTACCTACTTATTTCGTGATATAACGCTGATTCGAGAACAAGGAGGATCTTGCGGCTGACAAATGGAAGTGGCAGGTAAATGGTAGGCACTTACTCACTCCCGAGACCAGTTCGTCGTCTTGACTCAGTACCTTAGCCACAACAATACTTAGGTATCATGGATGTTACTTACGTCCTAGAGCACGAGGGTTCCTTCACCTACCTAGACACCTGGCCTTCAGGCTCAATGAGGTCGGTGTTGGTTGATAATGGTTGTAGTGAACTGAACATATGCTGTGCATGTCGATCCTACCTGTAGCCTGCTCCTCCTTGGCAGTGTGTTGAAATTACAAGTGGTAAAAGTCGGGATAGGGAAGCAGTGAAAAGGAGGTAATGGCACTTGGCGCCGCCCTACCCAGCGACAGCGTCGACAATTACATTTAAACCCGTTGATCATCAGTCCGGTGCTTCAGCAATACCGGTACTATATATCTATCTATAGTAAATAAATAGTGAATCGATGCCTTATGAGAGAGAGCTAGAGACCTTCCAGAAACCTTCCGGGCCTTCGCACTCGCGCTTGCGCCACACTATTTTTACTTGTGCCATAGGTAGGTACATGTATTGCCGCTGTTACGCAGTAGGTACCTACTGTAGTAGTCTATACGTCGATGGCCCGTAAGCGCTGCACCGTAGGTAAGTACAGGTAGTGAATACCTACATACCTAACAATACAAAAGGGCCTCGTTTTTTTGGCAAGCCAATCTCATTTTCCTCTCCTGCAAGTCGTGGACAATGAGAACTGTTCCGGGTTACAAAGAGATGCACAACGCCTGTAGATGAAGTGTACTTATACTTAGTATGCATAGTATGCACGATGGGGGCGGGATTCCAGGGGGGGCAGCACAGTATGACTTAGTGGGCACTCCAGCGATGTCATTTCAGAGCCCAGTTAGGTAAAGTACCTAGCAGCATGCTGACAGAGAAGCCCACTATTCCATGCCCACATGTGCAGGAGACAGGCCTGCTAAATAGGAGCAGGAGACATTACACAGTAGGTAGGTACCTTACCTGGCAGACCTGGGTAGGTAGGTACATGGAGGGAGTTGGGACGGACAGTTACGAACCCCGGTCCATCCGGCATGTTCACTGCCCCGTGTACCATCGACAACCCAGCGAGCGAATCACCCAAAACTTTCCACTGTTCTCTTTCCAATCCAGCCCGTCCAGCCGGTTTTGTCTCCCCATCAACAACCAACAAACACCAACGGCGACAACGACGTCCTACCTTTCTTTCACCACCGTCGGGCAATGCCCACGTAGCTTTACACAGGCGCTCACCTACCACTGCGTGTGTCCTTCCATCAACAGCGCCTGTAGTAGGTAATTCATCTTGCTCCTCGCCGCCCCGAATACAGCTAGCTGTGTTGCGACGTCTCAATATCTCCACCGTGGCTAGAGCAGGCTATTCCTTCCCGCAGTCCCGACCGCAACCAGTAGCAGGAGGATAGTCAAGATTGGACCATAAGCGAGTCTGGCGACGAGGATTGTAATTGACGGGCGCTGCCCGAAACACCCGTAACCATGGCGAAGGACGACAAGAACGACGATTCGCTGGACATTGCGCCAACGCGGTCAAGATGGGCCACTCGCAAGCTCACCGTAAAGAGCAGCGGCGTCAAACGAATCAACATCATGGATAGGATACACAAGAGGACCGATTCGACAGAAAAAAAACGCGAGTCTGGAGGGTCTAGTCAATCGGATAACAGTCCAGGTATCATTAGCACGACGATTCACGAGGAGCCCAGCAATGAGACGGACGCCAATAGCACCACGACTTCAGAAGACGAAGGCGAGGGGAGGACCCTGTTTTTCAATCTACCATTGCCAGAAAGTTTTAAGGACGAGGAAGGCAACCCCTCCCAAATATATACGAGAAACAAGATCAGGACAGCCAAGTATACGCCTTTGTCTTTCATCCCCAAAAACATCTGGTTCCAATTCCATCAAATTGCCAACATATTTTTCTTATTCAACGTTATCCTAATAGTGAGTAAAGACTTGAAATCTCGTAATCTGTTTCTCATACCAAACTTCGATTCTAGTTTTTCCCTATTTTCGGAGGAGTAAATCCTGGCGTCAACGCGATACCTCTGATCTTCATTATTACTGTCACGGCTATCAAAGACGGCATTGAAGATTACCGGCGAACGGTACTCGACAATGAGCTCAACAACGCCGCTGTACATCGACTCGTCGGCTGGGAGAATGTCAATGTCGCGGACGACAATGTTTCTACATGGCGGAGGATCAAAAAGGCCACCTCGAGATTCATGGGTTTGTTATGGGATGCTATTAAGAGTTTATGGACGAAAGACTCAGATTCGGATGTGGGAAGTAAAACCGCGTCCAATCCCCGATTCTCGATCGAGACAAAAGGAAATCGAAAGTCAGTCGCCTCGGCTTTCGAAGATATACAGATGACCCCAGTGTCCTCACCATTGCCACCCCAAGGAACGTCCACCGTGAATCCTATGGAACACGACGCTCTTGCACGCGAGAAGGGCGATCTGATCAACCATGACCTAGAGATTAGCGGCCAAGCAAGATTCCACAAGGATATGTGGAAGAATCTTCAAGTTGGCGATTTTGTCCGACTTTATAATGATGATGAACTGCCCGCAGATGTCATTGTTTTAGCCACATCAGATACCGACGGTGCTTGTTACGTCGAGACGAAGAATCTGGATGGCGAGACTAACCTTAAGGTCCGCCAGGCTCTCCGTTGTGGGCGAACCTTAAAACATGCCAGAGATTGCGAGCGAGCTCAATTTTCAATCGAAAGCGAAGCCCCACAGGCCAATCTGTACAAGTACACCGCAGCCATCAAGTGGCAGCAAAATTTCCCGGGAATTGGATCGAGAGAAATGCAAGAGCCAATTACGATTGACAACTTACTCCTCAGAGGTTGCAACTTGAGAAATACTGATTGGGTTCTCGGCCTTGTCGTTTTTACAGGTCATGATACCAAGATTATGATGAATGCTGGAGCAACTCCTAGCAAGAGAGCGCGCATCGCTCGCGAACTGAACAGCGAAGTGCTGTACAATTTTGGCATTCTATTTGGTATCTGCTTGTTGAGTGCTATTGTCAATGGTGCATCCTGGGCCAAAACCGATGCATCATCAGCTTGGTTTGACTATGGTGCAATTGGTGGAACTCCTGCAATGACCGGCTTCATAACATTTTTTGCCGCCCTCATTGTCTTCCAGAACTTGATTCCAATCTCGTTGTACATCTCCCTTGAAATTGTCCGTACACTCCAAGCTATTTTCATATATAGCGACGTGGAAATGTACTACGAACCGATCGACTACCCCTGCGTCCCTAAATCCTGGAATATCTCGGATGATTTGGGCCAAATCGAGTATATATTTTCCGACAAGACCGGCACGCTTACTCAAAATGTTATGGAGTTCAAGAAGGTTACTATCAACGGACAGCCCTATGGAGAGGCTTATACAGAAGCGCAAGCCGGCATGCGAAAGCGTTTAGGTGTTGACGTGGTGAAGGAAGCCGCTGAGGCTAGGCAGCAAATCGCCCACTGCAAGGTTCAAGCTCTTGACGGCCTCCGCAAGATTCACGATAACCCTTACCTGCATGATGAAGACGTGACGTTCATAGCGCCAGACTTTGTCGACGATCTTCGAGGTGAACATGGGGATGAACAGCGAGACGCAAATGCTCATTTCATGCTGGCTCTTGCACTCTGCCACACCGTCATTGCCGAACACGTCCCTGGGGAAAAACCAAAGATCGAATTCAAGGCTCAGTCTCCAGATGAAGCTGCACTAGTTGCAACGGCACGCGACATGGGCTTTACGGTTCTCGGCTCCACATCCGAGGGAATTAGATTAAACGTCATGGGCGAAGAAATTCATTATACCATTCTCAACACCATCGAATTCAACTCAAGCCGAAAGCGAATGAGCGCGATTATCAGAATGCCTGATGGGCGTATCATTCTGTTCTGTAAAGGCGCCGACAGCATCATTTACTCTCGGCTCACGCGCGGTGAGCAGGCAGAGCTGCGTAAGACCACAGCTGAGCACCTAGAGTTGTTCGCGCGTGAGGGTCTACGTACCCTCTGTATAGCACAACGTATACTTTCCGAGCAGGAATATCTTGATTGGCGCAAAGAACACGATAAAGCTGCTTCTTCGATGCAAGACCGGGAAGAAAAGCTAGAGGAAGTTGCTGATAAGATCGAACAGAACCTCACTCTACTGGGCGGCACAGCTATCGAAGATCGCCTACAAGATGGCGTACCTGATACAATCGAGGTACTTGGACAGGCTGGTATTAAACTTTGGGTACTTACAGGTGATAAGGTTGAGACCGCCATCAACATCGGGTTCTCTTGTAATCTGCTCAACAATGACATGGAACTCATTACTCTAAAGGTCGTTGAAGATGAATCTGGTCAAACAGATACTGAAAAGTTCATCCGTGAGCTTGACGCAGAGATCACGGAAAGGCTCAGGCATTTCAATCTAACGGGAGATGACGAAGATCTCAAGCACGCGCGCATGGACCACGGAGCCCCTTCACCTAGGCATGCACTGGTTATCGACGGGTTCACGCTTAAGTGGGTTCTCGATGAGAGGTTGAAACAAAAATTCTTGATATTGTGCAAACAGTGCGCTTCTGTTCTTTGCTGCCGCGTCAGTCCCGCTCAGAAAGCCGCGGTCGTATCAATGGTCAAGAATAGCTTGGATGTTATGACGCTTTCAATCGGCGATGGTGCTAATGATGTTGCCATGATTCAAGAGGCAGACGTTGGTGTCGGAATTGCTGGTGTCGAAGGTCGTCAAGCCGTCATGTCTGCCGATTATGCTATTGGCCAATTCCGCTTCCTCCAGCGGCTAGTTTTAGTACATGGTCGATGGTCATATCGAAGAATGGCCGAGGCAATTGCCAATTTCTTCTACAAAAACATGATCTGGACTTTCACCATTTTCTGGTATCAGATTTGGTGCAACTACGACATCACCTATCTCTTCGAGTACACGTACATCATCTTGTTCAATCTCATTTTCACATCCGTCCCACCCATCGTTATTGGCGTCCTTGACCAGGATGTTTCCGATTCTGTGTCACTTGCTGTTCCACAACTCTATCGGCGCGGTATCGAGCGCTTGGAGTGGACAAAGCAAAAATTCTGGTAAGTTCTGAAAGATCTTGTCTTCAAGTCACTCATACTAATTCTGTAATAGGACATACATGGCAGACGGTCTTTATCAAAGTGTCATAACATTCTTCATACCCTACCTCGTAGTTGCTAACACCACAACGATTGCTGATAGTGGTAGAGATGTGATTGAGCGCCAGCGGCTTGGTGCCTATATTGCGCACCCTGCAGTTATCACGATCAATCTTTACATCCTCATTAATACATATACCTGGGACTGGCTAACAGTCTTGATCATTGCTATCAGCGATCTCCTCATCTTCTTCTGGACGGGTGTTTATACATCGGCAGATGCTGGCTTTGCATCGACCTTCTATGGCACAGCGGCTCAAATCTACAGCGAGCTGTCATTCTGGATTGTCCTGTTCCTCACACCTCTCATCTGCATTGCGCCACGCTATGCTAGTAAGGCTTTGCAAAAGGTTTTCTGGCCATACGACGTAGATATTATTCGAGAACAGGTGTCTGCGGGTAAGTTCGACAGAGTGGCGAAGAGAGAAGATCAGCACAGCTCGCACGATGCGAAGGAAAGTTTATCTAGCTCCTCTGGCTCCTCCCGTCGCAAGCACCAACCACAACAAAGTATTGATGAAGACCTTCGCCCCATCTATCCGCCATCCATCGCGGCTACTTCTGTTGCTGGTCACGGCCCTCGAAGCCAAAGGGGTAGCGACGGAACGAATTATACCCGGCATGATCTATCGATGGAAACACCCGTTAACCAGCCGGCCGACCTGCCGGATGTCCCTATCCGTCCATCCGTTGATCGTGTGCGACCATCATATGATCGGATGCGGGCGTCAATGGATCGGATGGATCGAAATGTTCGTGCCAGTTTTGAAGCATCGAACGACTTTACCAGTGCAGCCATGTTAAGCCGTTTCGAATCCACACGATCAGTGCCACCAGAACCTGAAGGCAGTGGCATAGTCAACAAGATTCGAAGGCGCACGCGTGGGAAGTCTTTCAAATCAGCCTTCGCATTCCATAAAGACCAGAACAATCACATCCAAGAACATGAATAATACATATGCTCTTGAGCGACTAACTGAACTATTTGGGGCCAAGGATTGTCGTTGTCGCCTCGGCCCATTCTTTTCATCTCAAATGATAAACTATGCTCCCAGCACTCCACGATCTGCAACGAGCAATCTATGATACCTAAAGGCATGACTGGTTTGCCAGACACCAACTATAGCGCATACTACTTCAACGCGTCTTTAGCTGTTTTTCTGGAATTGGCGTTGGCGTCTTTGTTTTGGTGCATATTATTGGCGCAGCCACTGTACGAGGAGACGATGAAAGTCACAATATTTCCAACCTCTATCCTCACTTTTGCACCCTTTTTTGTTCTGTTTTGGAACTAGACTTTTCTACTGCACCCCATCACGTATATTTACATTATGGCCACTTCTCGATGCTGGGATTGTTTCGCGTCAGTTGCACGGTCAGCATTTGATTTTTCGTGTTCGACATTTTCTGGGCACGAGTAGGGCGGCGTTTAGCGTATAAAGAATCGGGTCTTTCTTAACACTGGAGAGCGACGGCATTTGTTATATGAAATGAGAGAGAGAGAGGGGACGTTGAAACGTGCTGCTTCGGCCATTTTCAAAGAAAACGGAGCGCTAAAGCTCCTCGACCTGTGTATATAGACCCTTGGCGACAGGCTAGAAGGCATATGGCGAGATGACGAAGATTCATCGGGGTATATATAGTAATGCAGCGTAAAGTAGCAGTAAAATCAAGGCTTCTAACCACTATGCGCAATGTGCACGATTCATCTTTTCATTATCGAACTGCCTGCCCACCTACGGTAGATGTGCCGTCCTCTTGCCAGCTAAGCCACGTCAGTCGAAATACGCCATCACCAGCCACAAGACCCTTGAGATTTAGGTAGGTATTTTTACATGGGATAATTTAATTAACACCGGCCGGCAGCGCATTGGCAAGTCACACCAATATCGTGCCATTGCACACTCGTTTGATGAAGACGGTGATGAATAATTTGGTGGGCGGGGGATAGCAGTGCTGATCTCATTGTACCTGCGTTGGACCGTCGTCGTCCAGCACTTTCAGTATATCTGGAAACTACCTACTTCCCTCGTCTGCCACCATCATCAACCGCAACGATGACGCCTGATCTAGAGGCTTGGCTTGGTCAGTTAACTCTGCACTTGCGACGGTTTCCGTATGTGTCTGTCTGGAAGGATACTTGATTCAAGCCCCCATTTCTCCTGTTCGTGATGTTCTAACATGGTGCATCTCAGGATACAGGATCTTAGCTTTGCAAATCCCCCCCTGCCTATCGTTGGCGTCGTGTTAGGTGCCCTGCTGTTCTTCTTCGCCGTCTTCAGCTCGGGAGAGAAGCCCCTCCAATATATTGTTCCGCCACCGACACTACCTGAAGAATCAAAGGTGCTCGAAAGCCCCAAGATCAAGACCTCAGGCACAACAGCTATACAATGCTACGCTCCTGCTACTGGCCAATTCCTCGGCTTCGTGAACCCGTCAACCCCTGCCGGTCTCGATCGATCCATCGCTCAAGCCGCTGTAGCCCAGGGAAAATGGGCCAAGACGAGCTTTGCTGAGCGAAGGCAAGTGTTACGCTCGATGCTCCAGCACGTCCTCGATAATCAGGAGCAAATCTGCAGGGTCAGCTCGCTCGACTCGGGCAAGACGATGGTTGATGCCCAGCTTGGAGAGATCATGGTAACGGCTGAGAAACTGCAATGGACGATCAAGCACGGCGAGAAAGCCCTGCGACCCTCGAAGCGGCCGACGAATTTACTGCTATCCTATAAGAAAGGCACCGTATACTACGAACCATTGGGCGTCGTGGCAGCCCTCGTCAGCTGGAACTACCCATTCCATAATCTAATGGGACCAATCATCTCCTCCATATTCGCAGGCAACGGCGTCGTAGTCAAAGTCAGCGAGCAGACGTGCTGGAGCGCGGCGTACTACACCAGCATCGCGCGAGGCGCCCTTGTAGCGCACGGCCACGATCCGGCTTTAATCCAGAGCGTCGTGTGTTGGCCGCAGACCGCCGGCCACTTGACAAGCCACCCAGGTGTTGCACACGTCACCTTCATCGGCAGCCGGCCTGTCTGCCACCATGTCGCGGCGAGCGCAGCACGTAGTCTCACGCCCGTGGTAGCGGAACTCGGCGGCAAGGACGCAGCCATGATCCTCGATTCAGCGGCCCGTGATCTCCCGCGCATAACCGACATCCTCCTCCGCGGCACTTTCCAGGCCAGCGGGCAGAACTGCATCGGCATCGAGCGAATCATCGCCACGCCCAAGGTCTACGACAAGCTCGTGGAGATGCTCACACCGCGCGTGCGCGCCTTGCGCATGGGCCTTGACAAGGACGTCGGCGCCATGGTCTCCGACGCCTCCTTCGCACGTCTCGAGGGCCTCGTGTCTGACGCCGTGAAAGCTGGCGCCAGACTCCTCGCGGGCGGAAAGCGATACATCCACCCAGACCACCCGCACGGCTTCTATTTCACCCCTACACTCCTCGTCGACGTGACGCCAGACATGGCCATCGCCAACGAGGAATGCTTCGGGCCAATAATGACAATCCTACGCGCGCCCTCGTGCACCGCAGACGCCGTACTATCCCTCGCCAACACACCCGCCTTCGGCCTGGGGTCCTCCGTCTACGGCTCCGATTCAGACCCTATCCTGCGCCAAATCGTCCGCGGCGTGCGCGCCGGCGGCGTCGCCGTCAATGACTTCGCCGTGTACTACGCCATCCAGCTCCCCTTCGGCGGCGTCGGCGGGTCAGGATACGGCCGCTTCGCGGGCGAAGAGGGACTGCGCGGGCTATGTAACATGAAGAGCGTGTGCGAGGACCGCTTCGGCGCCCTCGGCATCCGAACTGCCATTCCCGGCCCCGCGAGATACCCCGTTGCGTCGCAGGAGCGCGGATGGCGGTTCACGAGGGGCGTTGTGGGGATCGGGTACGGTCTAACGCTGGCGGATAAGTTCTGGGCTGTGCTGGATGTGTTGAGGAATATGTGAAGAGGAATTCATAGTCGAGAGATTAATCAAGACGTGTATATATAAGATAAAAAGAAGAAATGATGAGCGTACCTACTACCTGGCTACCGGCATATCATAGATGGTTACTTCGAAATACCTAATATTAGATCAACACATGTAATCACTATCTTCGCGGAGGCAATGACTCTCTGTCGGAGACAAAATATGTAGATATAGATGTAGTGTTCAACGACAAATATCATCCTCACGCATGCTACAACATCGTATCTTCCTAAATTACTAGGCAAGTACAGATCTCATACAGATTGAGGTATTCATTTCTTCAAAAGCGCGCTTCAATACCTATCTAGGTAACATTGTCTACCTATAGGTACCCATCACATAGGTACCTACTTACATACTGGTATTCCGAACGCGTAAGGGCAATTCCATCAAGTCCATGCCTGAAAACCCCCATAAACCGCATAAATCTTCCCTACCGGGTGATGAGCCGCTATATTTTACATCTATGCCAGCTTAGCGACTTTGGCCTTTGCCCTCTTTTCAATGAACTTATTTGGAAGACCTAGGCAAAGGTAGAGAGAGAGAGAGAGCAGAGAAACTAATCGCAGATACGCCCACGAACGCCAATGCCCGTACGGCAGAACTCAAGCAGCTGCGCCAATGGCCCTCCTGATACTAACAAGCTTGCCGAAGTCGAGCTTGCGGCCCTCAGGGGGCATATGTTCGCCTGAGGCGATGCAGAGGACGCGCATGCGCTCGTCGTAGCGGAGGCCCGTGAGCAGTTTTGGCGTGATGAGGAAGTACTGCGACGTGTGCTCGCGGCAGGCGATCTCGACCATGCGCTCGTGCACCATGCGCTCGTTGCGCGGGTCCATGCCCTGGTTGATCTCGTCGACGACGCGGAAGGGGGCCTGCGCCATCGATTGTAGCGCCATCAGATAGAAGATGGTCGACACGGCGCGCTCACCACCCGACTGCCGGTGTTGGTTGAGCTGTTGGAGAGTTTCGTTTTGTCTGCCTTTGTGTTAGTCATTGGGACTTGTCGTGTTCCGTGGAGATTGTAGTAGATGAGTGGGAGGAGTTACGCAAGGGGTTTTGAGAAGTAAGAGGACACGAGAGGGTACTAACCGGAATTTGACTTTGATTTCAATAGCCCATTGCTCAAAGTCTTCTTCGTCCTTGTAGATATCCACCTGGCCAGCGCAGTTGATTTGCTCAAAGTTGTAGGCGAACGCATCGTTGATCTTTGTGATGAGGGCGTCTACGCGTGGCTCCCACTTCTGCCTCAGCTCGTCGATCTTATGGGAGAGCGAGTCGAACCTGGCGGTGAGCTCTTCCCTCTGTTGTGTGAGATTTTGGATCTCCTGCGCACGCTTCTGGAATTGTCGTAGCACTGCCGGGTCAACAGCGTGAACATAATCCAGCTTGCTGTTCTCAGCCCCTATCTCATTATCGAGCTCCTCAACGGTCTTGCCTGCGGCAAGTTCGTTCAGATAGGGTAGTTGGTCTGGGTTTTCCGCCACCGCCTCTGAAACCACGTCTCTGGCAATTGCTGCTTCCGCTTTCAGCCGATCTGCATCTGTTCGAGCCGTTTGAATTTGTGTCTTTTCGTCCTCGAGACGCTGCCTGATTTCCTCGTTACGCACTTCAAGCGCTTTCACATCTGATCTAGCCTCAATGAGACGGATCTGAGCATCTAACAAGGCTTGGTGACTATCTCGCATGCCACAAAGCAATTCTTTGTGTTGAAGAACGGCTCGTGCTCTCTCGAGCACAAGTTCGTCTGATCGAACGCTAGACTCGGAGATACGTATCCTGGTTTCTGATATGGACTTCTGGGCGTCTTCTAGCTGCCCTTTCACAATAGCTACGTCTGGTTAGCTGTTGTATTTATTCCACATAGGCCGGACGACATCTTACGAATCTTGTCTCCAAGTGTTGCATAGTACGTGGCAGCTTTTTGCAACTCATTCTTCTGTTGCTTTAAAGTATCCTAGAGGTCGTTTATTAGTATTCTTTCGATGGCCAATAGATATAGACCTACAATTTCTGCTCGAACTTCTTCTTCGCGATCTTCCAGGCCTTTCCTCTTTTCTCGGATCTCCGATCCTTCTTGTTTAAGCGCTTCCAATTCTTGCCGAATCTCCTGCATTCGCCTTTCCAAATCTACTCGCTCGCTATCATCGACAGGTTGATCTGTCCAGAAGCGGCCCGGCATAATGGTTCTGGTACTAGTTGACGTAGCACTGGGACCATACTCTCTGCGCCTTATAACGCGATACATTCGCTTACCAGCCGACCAGTTTGGTATTCTTTCAAAAGCCATCAATTTTTCATACTGGGTGTTGTTGATATCCTGTTGAGCGACAGCTGAGAGGTGAAGTTTCTTCTCTCCACATAGCATAGCCAACACGGGCTCAGGGCCCTCCAGAAAGTTAATGGCGTAGGCATCAAGGCCAAATTCACGAAGCTGGTCTCTAGATAGAGGAGATCGAAATGATGAAAACTCGGTGCTGCAAGTTCGAATCGAAACGGCAATGCCCATCTGGCCATAAAACTGGCTGCTGAGTTTTTTGTGATCGCCAGGTGTCTGGCAGATAAAGCAGACAAAGTCGTCTTGGTTAAGCAATGCCTGGACTTGATCCGAGTATTTCTGGTCCGTAATGGAGCAGGTGAGCATTGGGGGGCCGAAAACTTCTTTCTCGAATTGGTCCTGATTCTCCTGGAGCCATTCCCAGCCCTTGGCAGCATCTGCGTGTACATTTTTCAGCTGTGCCAGCTTTTTTCCTTGCTGCGAGTTTAAATTTTCAAATTCTCCTTGCAAACTAGCCAATGCAGACTTCTTGGACACGTTGAGACCCTTGAGCTCGTCAAACCGATCATCAAGCATGCGGCGTTCTGCCTGAATCTCTTGCAAGCTGCCCTCTTTTTGGCGCTAAATCAGAGAATAGGTATGAGCCAAGGCAGCAGGAAATACTGTAAGAGAGGACTCACAATCTTGGTGTTCCATTCAGCAGGTACAAATTCGGGGGGTTTGTCCTTCATTCTAGCCTCTAGATCCGTGAGCGCTTTACGTCTCTGCTGGATATTTGCCTTGATATTTCGCAATGAGTCTTCCTCGGCTTTCACCTTATTCTCTTCGTTCTTAATCTTCTCATCGTATACTTCAATTTTGCGTAAGGCTTGTTCTCCGGCGACTTCCGCATCGCGAAGAGCCTTCTTCCGCTCATCTATAACAGGCTCAATCTGGGCCTGGTATGCCTGTTTCTGATTCACGGCTTCCAAAGCAGGCCCACAAGCCTTCTGTAAATCATCTAGCTTTTGTTTTGCCTCCTTCAATCGTTTCTTGGCCTCACCATATTTTGAACGCTTGTCATTGTACTCAGCGACAGCACGTGCACTCTCAAGGTCTTCGACTTTTTTCTGTATAGCTTCACGCTCGTGAAGCCTGTCGACATCAGCCTGGAGGCCCTGCTGGCGAGACTCATGATTTTTTAGAAGCTCGGCGCAGTTCTCAACCTGAACTTTCATCTCTTTGTGGTCTTTATGTAGATTCTTCAGCCGTAGTTGCCACTCGAGGATCTCCTCAGGCGCGGCAGCGCGAAGAGTCTCTTCAAGGAGGCGTGTGGGGGTCAGGCCTGCAAATTCGGCGACCTTGTCTTGAGGCAAGAACTGGCATAGATTGTCTATTTGGATGCGCAGTTTCCGCGTTAGCTCTTGTATAGCCTTGTGGGTGCTCTCTTTGCCGTTCAGCCACCACCTTCTCCCATTGTCTTCCCGATTTATCTGGACGCGAATGGTATGGTTTGCTCGGTCCTTCGGTCGTTTCTGCAGTTCTACTTCGATTGTTGCGCTCTCCTCGCCATGCTTCACGAACTCGCCAACGTGGCTGGCGCGACCAAGGTGTTTAGGGTGGTAACCTAAGCCGAGACATATGGCACAGACCAGAGAGCTCTTGCCGGTCCCGTTCGGACCAATCACCATATTCAAGTTAGGACCCGGAAGAAATTCGGCTTGCTTGTAGGTGACAAAGTTGGTGACTCGGACTCGGACTATAGCGCCAGGGTGAAAATCGTTTGGACCGAGAGCAAAGCCATTCGTTGAAGAGTAACCATCGGGCTTGTGATGTTGGGGTGCGGGGGAGCCATCGGACATTTGCTCTTCCTCGCCCTCTTCTTCCTCTGGATCCTCCTCCTCGACCACGCGGCCCTTGATGCCATTTTTACGTCTTTTCGAAGAGTCAGAAGTGGCTGGCGAAGGTTCGGCATCCTCGTCCTCCTCGTAGACAGCCCTTGGCCGTCGGCGGGGTTCGAGCGACGGCATCGTGCAGTGTAGAATAGGCGTGAATCACTAAGATCAAGCAAACACAGAAATTATTAAAGCGGCAAGTTGACACCCATCTCCTGTTATTCGAAGATAGGGTATTGATTCTCCTGATTCTCCCCAGGAGTGGGTTCAGTCATTGCCTTGGTTGAGTCTGTCGTCAACATGCAACTAACTCGTCGCCTAACGACTCCAAGTCATAGGATTCAACGCGTATTGTACCAGCAAGACGCGTTCGGACTCGATAAAAGTGGGGATATCAATTAAGCGGTGTGCGAATATGGATAGGGGAATATCCATATGATTAAACACATGCACATAGCATACATTTATGTATATACTCATAGTATGCAACAAAGCAGAGAAGTGAGCGCATTTCCAACATGCCGAACCTCACCTACATAGGTAGTACATCATACCTCCTGGGATCGAGGGAGAGAGAGCACATGGAAAGGTTACCTAATCTCCCAGCTTCGTGATCAATCTAGTTCTTATATGCTCTCTGGTCTCCTTTCCGCTGCTAAGTCATCTCGTGCGCACCTAGATCAGATAGCCAATACCCATGTTGGCTACCTCATAGCATCATACTAATGTAGCTTTCATGGAGTAGGTGCCTACACCATGTGAAATACATGTTGCTTAAGATTCGACACATGCTCAAATATATATATGTATAAATATATATCTTGCTGGTCTCGGGTTGCAGTTCATGTACGTGAAGTATCTTATGTCCGTGGCTAACAATCAATGGGTACATATAATAGTATTCTATCTTGAGCCCTTTGTTTATTTTACATTCATGGTACGTCTTCACTAAGCTATGAAAATGAGCAATGGACAATAAGCAATGCTGAAGAATGTACAGGCACGTGAGAGCGTGAGAGCATGTGCAAACCAGTCTAGAGGTCACCTAGGCAATGAGACATCAATATCAATGCTTTTAGGTTGTCTTGGGTGTTTTGGAAGCGCCAATGGATGGAGCACGCTCGCAAACACGGCGACAATGGGGGATGTTCAAGTTCGACAATACCCTATATGGCCATTGAGGGTGCGTCAAGAAGAGGTGAGAAGAGGTAAGTAGGGCGTACATTGGCTTAGGTTTTATCCATAATGGTACTTACATCATTCAATGTTTGTTGTCCATGGCCACCTTCTCCCGCATCTTCTGTCCAAGTAGATCTCGAAGCACTTGCCACATTCGCGGCCTCGAATCTCTTCTAAATTGGCCCCTCTCAGAAACATTCCTCACAGCTTGGGACTGTCACTACTAACAACTTCAAGCCTGCACAGCTATTCCCCCCTGGTTTTCTTCGCGCCCCTCTATCATTTCCACCTTTACTTTACTTGACGCTCTCAGTCTCTCCTTGCCTACAGTTTGCAGCCACGCCCTTGCCCTTGCGTGCTTCTTTCGCTTGACTAGCACTAATTACGCCGTCTACACATTCTGTTTTCTTGTCTCCAATTGGATTGTCCAAAAGCTCCCACTACCGGGGCGAATCGGCATCACTACCTTCTTAGATTGGGATTAGCACAGATATGATATGTTGATGTCCTGCTCTGCTTCTTAGCCTCAGACATGGCTGATCGTGGGGGCTCCAAGGCTCATCATGTTCGCCGCGCTCCTTTAGGAGACGCAACTGATCGCATCATCAACACTTCGCCCCAGAAACGTGAGAAGCGCAGTCGATCCCAAAACCCTCAACCAAACCCGTTGCGTGCCCATCCAACTCGTTGTGTCCCAGTCAAAGGCCCATCCCAAAATGGTACATCCTTATCACCACGCCGTGTCGCGTCCAACTCGAAAGATCTCGCTGTATCTAGAAGCGCCAATCACCGAGTTTCCGCTAGTCAACACATACCAACCCCTGGTGTTAGTGAAGCCAACGGGGATCAACGTGTGTCTGTTATCTCGACGTCCAGCTGCGCCTCGGGTGGCAATCGAAAAACCCACATAGGCCCATGGGAACTCGGAAAAACTTTGGGCAAGGGATCAGCTGCCCGTGTCCGTCTAGCCAGACATCATACCACCCATGATATCGTTGCCGTCAAGATCCTCGCCAAGAACATGACCCAACTAACTGCCGCCGGGAGTATGGCCGAGCTAGAGAAATGGGACTGCACGCGAAATGAGTTTAATTCGCAAAGACAGATGCCCTTGTCTATCGAGCGCGAAGTTGCCGTGCTAAAACTTATCGACCATCCCAATATCGTCAAGCTGCATGATATCTGGGAGAACCGCGCCGAGATGTAAGTCATACTATGTCTGGCGCTTGCCTCTGTGCTTACCATTATCTTAGTTATCTTGTCCTGGAATATATGGATTGTGGTGACATGTTCACATATATAAACGCCTGCGGTCCGATACCCGAATTCGAGATGGCAGCCTACTTTTACCAAATACTCAGCGCCTTAGAATACGTTCACTCCTTCAACATATGTCACCGGGATCTCAAGCCCGAGAACATTCTTATGAACTCCAATGGCGTAGTAAAAATAGCCGACTTTGGCATGGCGGCAATTCAACAAAGCCCGACTCATGCTTTGAAAACATCGTGCGGTAGCCCACACTACGCTGCCCCAGAACTAATCTCTCGAAGTCGCTACCAAGGTAGCAAGGTAGACATATGGAGTTTAGGTTGTTTACTCTATGCAACTCTTACCCGCCAACTCCCATTCGATGATCCTGATGGAAACGTGCCAAAGCTACTCGCAAAGGCAGCAAAAGGCAGCTATGTTATGCCAAGGTCCCTCAGCAAGGAGGCCCAAGATCTGATTAGGAAAATGTTAACGGTTGACCCGGCGAAGCGTATATCGATTCGAAAGATTTGGCAGCATCCCTTCATGCTAAAATATGAAGATTTAAATAGCTTGAATACCGATAGCCCGGCACCTGACTGTCGAGCGAGTGACAGGGCTAGGCCCGTACCACCTGAAGAGGTTGATCTGCAGATATTACGCCAATTGAAGTCAATGTGGCACACATTCTCTGAGAAACAAATCGCCATGCAACTGACCAATCCACTGTAAGTCCACATACCTATTCTCTCAGTTCGGGTTATTCCGACAAGCTAACTTTGTGCCAGGCCAAATGACCAGAAACTTTTTTACTGGTTGCTCATCAGCTATCGAGAGAAGAAACTAGAAAACTATGATGCCGATTTGACCTACTCTGCAAGTGATTATCATCACCTGCGACCTGTCAACTGGAGGAAAAAATTCACAACGGCTGAGTTTCCATCCAGGTACAAGAGGGTACCTTCACGATTCACTGTGATATCGACTGTTCCTACAGATGGGACACTTGAGGTTACGGATAACGCTACAGACGGAGGCAACACAACCATGAGCTACGATCCTTACAAGTCCTCGAGAATCATTGAAAATGCTCATGCTAGTCATGCCAAAATTGTCGTCCACCGAAATGGCAGTGTCGCGAACAAGTCGAGTCGTTCTTCAACATCACACCGTGGCCAAAGCGGGTCATTCAAAACTGCTTCTACTCGCTCGAGACAGCAGAGAGGCGGTCGCTACATTAACACTCCTCTCGCTTCACGCCCTTCGCGACAGTCTTTGAGCTCGGTTCAGAGCACCGAGAGCAGTCGTTACATGAGGCCGGCTTCTAGGCGTAAGAGAGGCGTTGACTTCTCCCAAGTTCGAATGAAGTCAGAAAGCCAGCGCGAAATAGCACACGCCCAGGCGGGTATTGCTGGAAGCGATACAGAACATATTTACGGTCCTGCCACCCCCATAGACTTGGTTAGAGATACCAAACCGCCCAGAAAACTGCATAGGAAAATTAGAGCTACGACCCAGTCCATGACGACTATGGCTCACGGAAGTGGCAACAGTCCGCCTTGGAATGAAGAAGTGAGTGAGTTTAGTCACAGCATTGCGAAGGATTGTGATGATGCCTTCAACAGCTCTTTGCTTGGGCCTGAGTCATACCTAGACAATACTCCAAGCCGGGTGTCAGTTCTAGCGGATTCGGCACCGCCCCCTAATAGATTAACAACGCCTACACCAGCTCCCACAGGTAACCTACATACGCACGCGAGGGCTCGTCCTTGGGATCACCGGCCTTTACCACCGACGCCGTCACCTACGGCATCAGCAATGGACGTAATAGCAACAGCATGGCCGAGAACTGGTGCGAACTCTAACAACTGGGATACATCCATGTATCTTGATCGCAGTACCTTTCAGCCGAATGGTATACCTCCTATGAGAGACCTAGCGATGCAGGGTGATTCAAACCTCAGAATTTCCTCGGCACCAATCTATTCGCAGTACAGCACTCAATGGGGAAAGGACAAGATTCCGCTACCATCAATCATCGAAAAGTCTCGAAACAATGATGGTGACCCTAGATCTCGAATCGTTTCTGCTCCAGCTAAATACCAGCAACACGAAACGGATGATCATGCGAACCTGGAGTTCCTGTCCAGGCAGGACAATACAATACGTCTAGTAACCTCACCCTCGGGTAAGCCATTTGGCGACGTTGAAGTCCCTAAGCCACTCAATCTACACAAAGGCATGTCTCACGGTGCCACAGCTCATGATCAGACCAAGAATGAGCTTAACCTTCGCGAACGGTACATGCATGATGAATTGGCGAGCTCCTCGGCAAACGCACAAGAAATCATATCGGTAGATAGCACGAATTCCACTAATGTGAAGAAGAGACTATCATGGTTCAAGCGCAGGTCTAAGGATAGAGAGACTATATTCAGTACCGCGGGAGAATCCATTTTAAATGGAGCTGACCATCTCACATCCACGGCCATGGATCCTTCTCCAATAGATGCACCTGCACCTCTGTTCAAGAAAAAGAGCTTCAATCTTGCCTTTTGGCGCAACAGCAAGAATGAGGCCCAAGCACCGATGTCGATCGCGGGTAAGTCACGTTGTTCATAGCCACAAGACGTCGATACTAATCAGCTGCAGAATCTAAACCGAGTGATGCGTCGATCCCCGCACGCATGTTCAGTCATCCAGCCCGGCCTCCTTGCGGCAGTGAGCGGGCAGATCAAAAGAAGATCCGTAACATTGAACCTCAGCAGAGCTGGCTTGCCCGCCTATTCAGGGTGAAACCGGCTACTCAATATCTTTGCTTCTCTATTTCTCGTCGACGCGCAAGGCAGGAGATTGTGATCTTGCTTAAAGATTGGAAGAAATACGGCATTCGGGACGTAGAAGTCGATAAGGCCAGGAACATCGTCTTTGCTCGAGTCGACGAAGACAATTGTAAGTCACTCCATCACCATCCATGGGTTTCATTACGGCGCTTTTAGATTACGGGTTGTCCTCGGCTAATAACACGTCTACCAGACCTCAAAATGAAGAAAGTGGCATTCGCTGCTGAAATCATGAGAGTAATCGAGCATGGAAAACGCAGTCAGCTATGCATTGTCCGCGTCACGCAAGAACGCGGAGCTGCCAGCAGTTTTCTCAAGGTCATCGAAATTATGAACTCAGTGTTCAGCGAACGAGGCCTTCTTGTCACCGACAAGCGAAAGAGCAAGATGATGATCAAGACGCTCAATTCGTAACTGGTACTTTGCTGTAAAAGATGATGTTCTAGGAACTGTTTCCCCCGCCCCCCATTATGGGCATGCACGGCGCCAGGGAGTCGCGCTATAGATGAGGTTGAGCTCACGGGAAGAAGAGCTTCTGTGTAATTTCCTGTCCTCCTGTTTTTCTAGTTCTGCATCTGAGAGCATCGCGCACTAGCTCACTGGCAAGCCTCGAAGCCATCCGTGTATGCATTACGATCATGTACAAAAGTTGAGAGTGGGCTTGGCGTTACAGGTATACAAAGAACAAAGAAAGGTCACCAGAGGCTGTCGATAGTATACTTGGACTTCAGGTATAAAAAGAGGGATGTACCCAGGTATGTATGTGCGACTCGTTGAGGGATTGGTTGGGCTATGCAATGCTTCTTGTATGGATGACATTGGATGCGGGTCCCATGTCTTCCTGAATAGAAGGATCGTGTTGAGGTCAGTGGATTAAAAAGGGACAAAAAAATCTGGCGAGGAACTACTTAGTCTAGCATCGGAACTATTGGACGGCGCTCACCGCGGACAGAGATAGGTCAGTGTAATAGATTAGTGTAATATCGTCTACAGAGATACATACCGTACTTCCATGTGTGTGGCATACAGATATCATTTGGCGTGTCCTATTCGACGAGTGTACAGATAGACACTCACTGATGTATCCAGCCTACAGCAACATACATAGTATAGGTATGAATTACGATCAGACGAAGATTTACGTAGCTCACGCACGCATAAGTAAAGGCCGTGGCGGGATGATATCGCCATCTCGGCTAAGAGCTCGGAAAGTATCGGCAGCACGGATGGGCTGTGCTGTGAAGATGGGGACGCAGCCGGCTGGGCATCCGAGGTTCGGTCCAGATCAGATACTAAGATTGTATACTATTTACTTAAGTACAGTGCTGTAGCATAGCAGGTGGAGCGGAACACTGACACGAATGAATTACACGCGCGTGCTGTCTTGCGAGATTAGACAGACATAGGTATTTTAGCTTGTTCTCCATTGATTCTCGTTTGTTTACTTCTCTACCCGATGTCCACTGAATCACAGTATGACTCCAGTCAGGGTTAGAGCATATATAAACGTCGAGGTCTGGAATGTTACTATATGAAAATCAATGTGATGGCTATTTTCTCGGGAATGTGGTAGGGGGAGTGAAGGTGCGTCACCGAATTCCTCGCCAGGTTCTCCAGAGCTACCCCTGTCTGCCCTGTTCTGCCCTGTAAGCTGGCCCCTGTAGACCCCCCGCACTCCGCCTGTAGTGTAACGCCGTAGTCGAGGTAGTGTCATGCTAGCACGTGCGCTATAACATGTGATAGCGACAGCTTCGGCACCCCAGATTTACCAAGACCTTTCGCCATCTTCTCCCGAGCTCGCATGCTCTTCCGAGAGAGCTTCACCCCGTTCGGGCGGGACAAGGACGCTTTTGCCATTGATATCATAACCCGGCGATCACTGTCCGGCTCCGGTATGGTTCTGGCCCTAGAATCAAGTCTATATATATATATATAAGTTCGCCGGCGTCCCTCGGGCTGTTTGTTCATAAAGGGCATGAACATGAAGACATTCTCGATTTCAACTACATCACTCATCAACTGAAGAAGCGTAGCTTCACTCGACATTTGCACCTCACATCTACTCACGGTAAGTAAGTCCATCAGTTCAGCCTTCCCCACACTTTCACAAGCTTCCTGAGCCTCCCGAGCTCGCTCTCTGCCTATCCACCCTGCCTCAGGTCCCGACTAGCCACCCCCGGCCGGCTAGATCAGACCGGTGACAACCACTCAGCTATCGTCCTTCTACCCGAAAGACCAGGGCCTTTGTCAACCACCCCATCATCGCCGAGCTTAAGCTTAGGTAACGTCATGCCCATCGCCATCGCCATCCTACACTAGCCTATCCTTTCCCCAGCTTGAAACTCAGAATACCTACCTATTATAACATCATACCATCATATCCAGCCACCAAAGAGCCCAGTCAACAACCTTGTCCGTTCGTCCTAGCTCTCTTTTGTGACAAGCCGAGCAGACGTCCAGCACCGGCATATAGTTACATATCATATACACCTACACACATACATATACATCATCGCTTTGCCCTCCCCTGTCATTTTCGACATTCACCTTGTCTAGTACCAAACGTCCTACACTGGCACTCACACTCGTAGTTATATAGTCACCTCATTACCCCCTCCCTCGAGTCATTGAAGTGGTTTCAAGGTACATACCCTCTTTTCTACGGCAGGCTGAGAAATTCCTCAGTTAATCTTGATCTGTATCTCGAAGCCGAGCTTTTACACAGATAACTTGCGCCAATCACTAACTCGTTATAGAACATTCCTGTAGCGTTGCCAAGGCATTAGACATCAAAAGTGATAGATCTATACTTCACTTAATCTTACCGAGTCTTCGTTTTGGAATTGGGGCTCACACGCGCATACGCGCCTATACACTACCACTACCTCTCTCTCTCATACCAAAAATCACACACAATGGCCACTACCGACGCCATCCTACGAGGAGTCTCCGTCTCAGGGACCATAGGTCCCGAACACAAGAAGATCCTCACACCCGAGGCGCTAGCATTCTTGGCCCTGCTGCACCGATCTTTCAATGTCACACGCAAGAAGCTGCTAGAGCGCCGAGTGATACGGCAGGCCGAGATCGACCGCGGCGTCCTCCCAGACTTCCTCGCCGAGACCCGTCACATTCGCGAGGACCCATCATGGAAGGGCGCGCCGCCCGCTCCGGGACTTGTCGATCGCCGTGTCGAAATCACTGGTCCCACTGACCGCAAGATGGTCGTAAATGCTTTGAACTCGGATGTCTGGACATATATGGCGGATTTCGAGGGTATGTTACTTTTCGTCTTATGCTTGATATATTCTTCGAATTAGGGAAAAGGCGTACTTCTCGCATCGGAGTTTTTCGGTTAGATGGGTATTCCAACAATCAATATCGTGTCACCGGTGGAAATCCCCCCGGGTAGAAGTTATACATGCATCAAACAGTAAGAGGCAAACGACGAGAGGCTGACAAATTTTCTAGATTCGAGCGCCCCGACGTGGGATAACATGATTAACGGTCAAGTAAATCTATACGACGCTGTACGACGACAGGTGGACTTCAAGCAGGGTCCGAAGGAATACAAACTGCGAAATGACCGCAAGTTACCGACATTAATCGTACGACCACGAGGATGGCACTTGGAGGAGAAGCACGTCACAGTTGACGGAGAGCCCATTTCTGGTTCTCTATTCGACTTCGGTCTCTACTTTTTCCACAATGCTTTCGAATACCAAAGTAAGGGATACGGCCCTTACTTCTACCTACCCAAGATGGAGTCACACCTCGAAGCTCGTCTATGGAATGACGCCTTCAACCTTGCTCAGGACTACATCGGAATGCCCCGGGGCACAATTCGTGGAACGGTCTTGATCGAGACCATTCTCGCGGCGTTCGAAATGGAAGAGATCATCTACGAACTGCGTGACCACAGCTCCGGTCTAAACTGTGGTCGCTGGGATTACATCTTCAGCACGATCAAGAAGTTCCGCAACAACCCCGACTTCGTTCTCCCTGACCGAAGTTGCGTCACCATGACCGTGCCTTTCATGGATGCTTACGTCAAGCTTCTCATTCAGACCTGCCACAAGCGTGGTGTCCATGCCATGGGTGGTATGGCCGCACAGATCCCTATCAAGGATGACCCTGCGGCGAATGACAAGGCCATGGAGGGTGTACGCGCCGATAAACTGCGCGAAGCTCGTGCGGGTCACGATGGGTACGTTATCGAACCTCCTTTTCCCAAGAAATTCTGCCCGCAGACTTTCCATCACGAACAGGGACTGGAAACAAATATATCCTACAGTAGCTTGATTCTCTAACATTACTGTTTATAGAACATGGGTCGCCCACCCAGCACTCGCCAAGATCGCCAGCGACATCTTCAACGAGCACATGCCGACGCCAAACCAGCTATTCGTACGACGCGAGGACGTCAAGATCGGCCCCCGTGACCTGCTTAATATGAATGTTCCCGGCAAGATCACTGAGGAGGGCATCCGCAAGAACCTGGCCATCGGTCTTGGATACATGGAGGCCTGGATCCGGGGTATCGGCTGCGTGCCAATCAACTACCTCATGTACGTGATATTACACCCCCTTTCCCGTCTGCACCTTGCCTACATTCTGTAGGATGTACTTCACTCGGCAGCATACTTTACCCACCCTATCCGTATCGTTTAAGTAGCTAATTCCTTTCTTTTTCACCAACAACAGGGAAGACGCCGCCACAGCCGAGGTATCACGCTCGCAGCTCTGGCAATGGGTGCGCCACGGCGTAACGACGGCCGAAGGCCACCGCGTCGATAAGGCCTACGCGCTGCGCCTCCTCAAGGAGCAGACGGACGCGCTCGCCGCCAAGGCGCCCAGTGGCCACAAGTTCGGCCTCGCTAGCCAGTACTTCGCGGGCCAGGTCACGGGCGAGGACTACGCCGACTTCTTGACTACGTTGCTGTATAATGAGATCACGGCCGTTGGGAACGCGGCGCCTGCGAGCAAGTTGTAGAGAGGGCGTGTAATTATAGGAGTATCTATTATGGTGGAAGCAATGTGCTGTAAAAGAGAATGAAGAAAAATGCACTGTTTGGGTGATGTCTGTCTAGGCTGGGTATTGTTTTATCTACTGGTATGGGGTAGGGTAGGAGTATTATGTAATGATATAGTCACGAATCTCATGAGCTTTCAAGTTCATTCGCTTTATGGGTCACTTTCGTTCGTCTCGTCTTGATGGTTATCATATGTTATGTTTCCGTGTTCATCGACGAAGTAGGTTTGTGTTTACATAGGTTGTCGGAAGTGAAGTAGATGTTGAATAAGATATATTAAATTAACCTAATAGCAGTTTCATAACCTCCTACCTACTTTTTTATATAAGCTTTATTGAAAAAGATAGCGTAAAGAAATCTATTACAATTAAAAAGGAGAAAGATATTAATTCTTAGAGTGAGTGAGGTTGTGGAACATCTGGAAGAAAAAAATAACAAAAGAACAGAACATGACAAAAGCTATCGTCACTTTGTCAGTATTGGGGTCGAACCCATGACCTTCGCATTTACTTGATGCAATTCAATGCTGCATTAGTACGACGCTCTAACCAACTACCATACCCGACCCCTTACGCTGGAGTCCATCCGCAAGTGATGCAATTCCGGCGATGTATTTACTACTATATTGGTAATCAATCAACGTCCAGTATACCTACCTACCCTCCAACCACATTCATCCCATAGATTGCTTACTATGATAATAGACACCAACCAGTCTTCAATATTGAGTTGAAAATCGAGCGTCTATACTGCTTTGCAGTCGGTATCTGTGTTTCAGTTATTCCAATGTTCCCATTGCACTTGCGTGTGACGGAGAGGATATGTATCATTGGAATTAGACGGAAATCAGTAGATACCCGAATCATAGGTTATGCGCTTTCAGCCTTCACACGCGCTTACTAACTACACTATCTTCCAGATACGAGGTCACGATGCTATGGGAGGCTTTGATATCAGGGTCCCTTCAGAATAAGATCTGATTAACTGCGGGCGTTCCTTGCGTACCCATCGTGAGGTTAGTACCAAGGGGTACGTACTACCTATTTGAAGACTGTTCGGTGCTACGATCCGTAGCAAAGGACGAGAGCCTGATATACTCTTCGTCTACGATTTGCTCTGGCGTGCTGAATGCGCAGATAAATAACCGCCGGACATCTCGGGAGATATAGTCACAGAGACCTCTAAGGGGAATTATATCGGTCCTTCTGGGTATGTGTAGGGGTAGTGCGCCCTTGATGGTTGAGAGAGGTGGAATCGATTGAATACTCCGTTGCGCCCTGACTGCCCTCGTGTCCGAAGCGGGTGTCCCAGAGTGAATAGAAGGCTAGTCGCAGCCAAGTAGGTAGTATACGGCTCAATAGAGGAATCGATTGAGTCCTAACCTTCCAGGTCCAAGTACGCCTCCTCGTCCAGCCTGACCTCCTCAGTCAAAGCTGGTATGGCAACCTTCTTCTCCAAGCTCTGGACGCAGTGGCGCAACTCGTTGAGCCTAGCAACCATGTCCTCGATGGCGTGTGGGAGGGCGTCCGAGGCCCTCGCGTAACAACAAGTATCGATATAGTACCCCATGATTGCAGTTTCAATATGCATTGTACTTCAGCTAATACAGCATTTGATCCCTAGCGTATTGGCTTGCTATCTGCCGTTCCCGATCCTATCTTCAACGGCTGACGCAATTGACTGAGCAAGTAGCTTAGAGCGACCCCCTTAAACAACTGTCTCTTCATTGTCCACTGTCAATAGAGTAAAGGGGTGGCTTTTGCAGTAGCACCTTATTTCCAACGACTTCGGAATCTCAATTAAACCTTCGATGAAAATGAGGCACGCAAGATAATCTTGAACATGGACAACGCTCTCAAGGTCAAGATTCATAGTATTGGCAAGAGAAACGGCGTATCGATCACGTTAAGAAACATTGAACTACTATCAAAGTTGGTATAGGGAAAGCATAAGCCACGTAGCTCTTCAAAGCGAACCTGCCAATCCTCAAAATGACGCAACATTCTCGACATGTGTAACTACCTCAAGCAAGGCGCAACTTACGGGAACTATTGCCATATGGTGAAACCTTTACTATTGTCCATGCCCAAAAAGATCGGATGTGAAGGTATCCCTTGTTCACAGGTACCTTTGTAGCGTCCGTCCACATCATCGCTGGCCAACCTTGATAGATAATGGGTCGCCACCTGTATCTACTTTTGATTCATGTCGACGCCGGTCCGACCGAAATGTAGAACAGACAGTGGCCCGGGCAGCGAAGTTCCTTGCAGCAGGCTAGTAGAGCTGTTCTTGAAATCAGACTTGACCTCCGAATGTGAGTGGTCAAGGAAGGGAAACCCCCCCTCTCACATGTTTCTCTTCGCCGATAGTACACGCAAGCCAACTTTGGTGAGGCCGTGGTAGACCGGAGTCATCTCCATGCCGTGTCCGGGATATCCGAGATCACGCTTTGCTCAAGTTTAATTGAAGCCTATGTACTCCGAAATACCTGGAAACAAACCCAATTTTTCGGTTCAGCATCTCGAGCTTAACCCAGCAACCAATACAAAGAGGGATGACACCGTTGACTGTCGGTAACGTATCCATCTGCTATTCATACTGGGTATAAAAGTACAGGGGGGTAAACCGAGAGGCCATCTTTCCCCATCATCACCTTGTTCAAACCGGAAACCAAGTACATGAACTATGTTGCTGCATATGCCGGGCTGGGTGAACTCGGCACCGAATACAGTTCTAAAAGCTTGCAACGGCTTGCCAAACCTAGAGAGAGTAAGCCACTTAGAGCTACTGTATTCGTGAACGCCGAGAAGACTACTTGGATCTTATCTCCAGACGGAGAAAAAGGAAATATTTTTATTCATAATGAAGATTATCAAAAGAAGAAACCGAATACTGGTCAGTATGGGGGTCGAACCCATGACCTTCGCATCACTTAGTATAGTATATGATGATACTATATTAGTACGACGCTCTAACCAACTGAGCTAACCGACCAATCAGATTGATGGCATGAACTGCGTGTATTAGCTACCATACAATTGTAATTGCTTAACAGATCCGGTAACTCATACCAAGCTTGTCTACAGTCTCAAAGTTGACAGCATTAGCCTAAACCTAACAGGCTGAGCCTGTTACTTAAACCCATCATATGAAAGTTCAGGTGGTGATGCTGTAAGTTTCGACTAATGGAGGGAACCCTTTGGGGTTGCTTATTTTTCCTTGACTTATTTTGTCTTTCAATTCTCTTGTCTCCGTGTTTAATTGGTGCCATGTATTAGTACGTGGAATGATGGAGCATTGGGGCCTTTTGGTTCATAGTCTATGTGAGAAGAGCGCGAGCCAGACACCACGAAGTAGGGAAAACGATACGTATTATGTAATCTATAAATTTATTTAGATATCGTTAGGTAACAGTTAATCTTAGAGAGATTGAATATCTTCATTCCTGGATTTCTAAAGACTTTCTGTATTAAGGGTTTAGAATAAAAGTAGTCTACGATATTGTGATCATGTAAGCGGCAAATACCCAGGTAAGCAACACGAAAGTTGAAATACAGACATAATTTTAACCATGTTTGGATTTTGAATTGAATCTTGTGAAAGTGGAAGGGTCTTCTGACTCATTGTGGCAGAAATCAGGGCCCCAGACTAAGGTATATCAGACAGCGCCTTGGCCTCTCCTTATACCATATGAACTCGGTTGTAGGGACTAAGCCACATAATATTACGCACTCTGTAGATTCATGCATGGGCTTAAGGATTTCTAGTCCTAGCTTCAAAAATATAAAGTGTGGCTTGCTTTTCTGTGTCATGATATGATGTGATGACTTTTCAACTTTATTGCCTTGGCTGTAGTTTCATTCCCCTATCTTCTAATTTTCGCACCTTTTTTTTCTCGGTATGTTTTTCTTGAGCTTTCTGTGTGTCCTATTCCTTCGGAAAGAATGTTTCAAGCTTAAATGCAATCTGCTGCTCAATCAGAGTGGCTATGTATCAGTCATGACGAGCATAGCCAGCTTTCGTGGCGAAGGGTATGACGACTCCTTTTCGGATCCCAAAAAGTCCGAGTCCTAAAAGCCAACATCTCAGGCCTTTAAATGATATATGTGAACGAGGTGCTACAGAGTTCCATAAACTATAATTGGTATTGCACAAATTTTCGGTGGCATCCAGATTGAAATGAGGTATTAATCGCTGTTCAAGGAGAAGAAACGGATCTAAAACACTGATTGGGATAACACTGGATTTTGTCCCCGTTGTGAGGTTTGGTGCCTACTTCGGTTATATCATATGATTTAAACCGTCTCATGTATGGGTGGATAGGTATTCGTGGGGAACCCTGTTACCAATGTATAGATGCGGAGATCAGACGGAGGAGCAAGCTCTCGGCGATTTTTTCACGAGGATCCCCTATTTGCAGTTGAACGGTAATCCACCATCGTAGCATAACAGGAAAAGGGTTGATGATTAATAGATTCACTGGATGGCAGATATGCGGAGAAGGGTATCATTACTTTGTTTGGTGAATGGTGCTGTAATAGTTGTTTCTGTTGTAAGCTCGTAAAGCATATTTCCCTCCGCGGCCCTTCAACTGCGTGGAAGCGAGCAGTCTTTGGAGAAAATGGGTTGTCAAGTCACCAAAGGCTGATAGCAGCCTTAGTATGTGTCCCTTGATATTGAATAATATGATAGATCTACAAAATAAGCCAAGAGACTCCTTTTACGGCTATTGATATGCCGTCCTCGTCCATAATTGGCGAGCTTTACTAGAAACTGAAATTCCGATCGGTTACATTCAAAGGAACCAACATGAAGAGAGGCCATCCTAGAAAATCCTACATCGGAGGCGGCCGCAGATATTCAAAGCTGATTGGGATACCTCCCAGTAGCCACTGTATGGTTTCTAATCAAGAATATTCGTTATTTCGAGGTTGAGGTTCGAATGATTTGGAATGCTTGGTAAAGAATAACTAACTCGAGATAATAGCTATGGAATGGGCACTGTCATTACCATGTCTAAGAATATGATAGTGTCTCCGGAGTAGATACCCTAACCGATATTCCCGGTCCATGTGAGGGGAAATTTTGGAAGGATTCAGGCGGCGGGACTTAGAGCCCGAGGAGGAGGATGGCTGCTCTAAGACGATGACACTAGACAATTGCTCTTGCCATTGCGGGACAGACGGCCACACGCCCAAGCCAGGCGGGAGTCGCGAAGATATTTGTCAGGACACTCTATTTCGGGTAGACAATTTCCCGAATCTCTGGTAACATTGAAGTTCAAAGAAAAACAACAAAAATCGCCGACGACTTGGGGCGCGGTTATCGGCAGACCCTACTCAATGTCTTAGATTGACACCGCCTCCACAGTCGCAGCGATAGGAATCCTTTACGAGATGGCGATCGAGTGCTGTTACGCATGGCCTCTAATTCTCCGCGTGACGCTCTAGCGCAACAACAAACGCTGGACGATCACCGATATATTTCCAGAGGCATCGAGTGGAAACTAAGACTGACCACGCTGCGACCTAACAGTGACATATACTTGGAGTTCATGCATTAGAGTTATGCTACGTCTCTACGAAACAATACAACCAACACATACGAATGGGGGCAATAGGGGTTGTTCTCGGAACTGGATTGATGAGTTGTTCGTCAGTAGTTCATATGCCACATTGCCGCTTCCGATATTGGTTTGTTTACATTGGACGCCGGACTTCTTAATATAGCAGTGTCGAGTTCAAAGTCGGATCGTCATGCTGCTCCCCTACCTGTAGGCCTGGCTCTGAGTTGTCTTTAGGAGCCTTATCGGCGGTATTATCATGATGGCAAGTAAGACATTGCGACATAGCCTCGGCCATGACCTTAACACGACACCTTCAACGTCATAAATTTACGTGTAGATGTTTGTTGCGTGCGCGTGTATGTATGAGTTGGCATCAGCGCGGTCTGCCATATAGCGACCACCTACGATGTTGGGCCACTCAAGCTTAGAGCGGAAAGACATTGAGAGGGGGGCCAAAAAATTAAACAAAACATAACATGATTGAACAGTATCACCAAATGCCACTCATCCGGTATATGAGACCGCAACGGACCCCACGTTGGCCGAGGTTCGGCGGCAGGTCGCACGGTAACTCTTCTTCGACCTGTAGATCGGTGACCGTGCCTTGGGGGCTACGACAATAGCAAGCGAGACATGATCGAAAGATGACATGTTTTTCCACATCTTTCAAGACCAGGAGTAGGCACGATATCCTGAATGTGACAGTGGGATGGCAAGTATCTTGATCGAGAGTCTGTTGTCGCGACTGATACCTTCATACACACAGTCATCAATTAGAAACTGAATCGCCAAACCCAAAGGTTAGTGCCATGCCCCCCTTTCTGAAAGGGGTTATCGAGTGCGTAGTACTCAAGCTTCTCACTGGCTGGTTACGGCTCGATTGAATCCTTTTCTAAGCACGTAAGCTGTTATCGTTAGTTTGCTAGCGGTCGACATAACCATTTGCAGAAACCCAGAGCTTCACTAGGTAGTATCGGATGCGAGCTCGTGGGAACCCCTGCGTTCAGAGCTATAGGGGGTTCTGTCAATGGGCCATCGTTACTAGCCTGCGTTGCTGTACTCGTTGCGATATCATCGTCCGAGGTAATCCAACCCGTGTTGTGCCTATATTTCATTCGATATACAGCTGTCCAAATGGCTCTGAAGTAACAACTGTTTGTCAACAATACTACGCTAACAACACCAAGGTGGCCGCCGATCAAATTAGAGACGCCAAAGGGCCCGAGTGAGCGTGGTGTATAGAAGTTGCCTTGGGAATCCGCTTCAAGTCCGCTTTCTAGTATACTGAGTAACTTGGTACGGGATGATGATAGGACTAGGTTGGTTTCTCACCCACGTGGCTGCAAGCGACATGGACCTAATTATAACACGAGACAATCCTTTGACTGATCACACGAGTAGGGTATACTTGAGTACCACGTCACTGGTTAGTGTTCAGAAATGGGGTGCATATGCATGATGTAGTGTATTGCGGTATCTGGAGTTTTTGGAACGGCTATAACCTAGCGTTGGTAGCCGATGCGACCATACGTCCCTAAAGACGGCTACCTTCTGCTTAACCAGCTCCTCGTAGTTCACAAGTGCTCTATTTTGATAAGGTACCTGGGTAGGTGATAGCTACCTAGGGTCTGTTTTCCGTCGTTGGTGTATTAACGAGCTGAGTCCTTAGAGGGAGCTGATGGGCGAGCGAGTGTGGCCCGAAGCGGTCTCTTTTTGCGCGGGCTCATCTAGTTGGCAATGATTGTTTACCCTACTGGGTATGAAGACGTGAGTGGCGTATTGTCGTGTCGCTGGTACCCACGGGTTGTTCGGATGGGAGGCTGATGTGATCGATGAATCATAACACACTCTGACAGCTGAGAAAGAGCCTCCGAAGCGGCTCTTTCTGGCAAAAGCGGCGTTGGCATGTTGTTGTTATTCGCAAGAGAGGCTCTTCGGCTTTCGCCACAGCCGTGATACAGATTGAGCACGATCATTTGAGATGCTTATACCAAATAGCGTGTGCTCTCAGTTTAGCAGCACTGTAGAGTCTCTCAGCCGCTTTCGCCTCATCCTCTGGTCATGCCGTAATACAGAACATCTACTGTACTGTATCAGAAGGCAACGGCGTGCGCCGGTCTCACTGAAAGGGTGGTGAGGGCACAGGGAATTTTCGTAATAGAATCCGGATCAAGTGTTTGACAAATCCCATTCCAGTAAACCCTGGATAGGGCAATTTGTCGTTGTGGCGCTCCTCGCAACAGAGCCCGTCTCTGCCCGTCTGTCACTAGTATCCCCACTAGCTAGTGAAAGGAGAAGAGTTTCCCTCTGATCAGTCACGACCCTTGCTAGTCCAATCAGTCAGTATCCAGTATCCGGTGTTGTTTTCCATCAACCAGGTGACAACCGCCCTGCGCTGAATTGCCCTGCCGAGCCTGCTTGGTTTTGTGGGTGCATGCCAAAAACGTGCTTGCTTAACAGAGGATTCGTTCTTACCCTTGTACGTCTCGGAACCCTGTGTGTATCGTGGCAAGCACAGGGAATCTGTCTGCAGCTGAGGTGCTTGCAGAACTCGTGCAACGCACCCCGTCAGCCATGACTCGCTTGGCAAAATCCTACGCTCTGAAGAGCTAGGTAACAGGCTGGGGTGTAGACGTAACGATACTGTACAGTACCAACAACAATATTCACTACAGAGTCAGTAGTACGTATGCAAGGTTCTTTCGTGGCTGTGCGAGTTTACTCTCAGGGCGTCGATTCAAAATAACACTAGGCGCGAGATGATTAGAAAGCTTCGTTTGAAGTAATGGTATAAAAGCATCCGTAGACGATGCTCTCGGCGTACCTCTGAGCAGTGCATCCATTACGCAACCAGCAACCAGCAACCAGGGCAGATACAAAGCGTCTCGAAACTCATATACTTCACATACCCTATTTCTCAACACTAGTGGCATATGCACCTATGTTCTTGCTTTTCCTCCCTGGCATAGTTTAAGACTAAACAAGCAAACAAGGCCTTTTAAACCTGACATCTCGCCACAGACTTATCCCGACGGTCTGTCGATATCTATAAAAAGGGAACCAAAGTTCGGAATGCCTTCACACGCTATGTCGATCGATAACCTGTGTAATGGGTACGCACAGGAAGACTATGTACAGGATGAGTACTCGAGACACCCAAACTGGGCAACGCCAGAAGACTGGGACAGACACCAAGAGACGATTCGGCGTTTGTATCTGGACGAGAAGAGACCACTCAAAGACGTCGTGGTAATAATGGAGACCGAGTACGGATTTCGCGCTACGTAAGTCACTAATCCCTAGTCCCAAACCGGCATTCTATTCTTGGATCCCAAGTTGCACTATATCATACTCCCCCGCGAAATATCAAAATCTCAAATTCTATACACACGTGAGGGGAAAAGAGAAAGCAGTCTTCGGTCCCGAGCGTTGTAATGTGGTAATTGACTCAAATATGTCGTATTTAGTGCCAAGATGTACAAGACGAGACTTGCAAAGTGGAAGATGCTAAAGAACAGACCGCGCGGAAGCCACCATTGAGACCGAATACCGCAAGCTAGAGTGGGATTGGGGGCAGAAATGGAGAAGAGATTGGAAGGGGTATAGGAAAGGAGGCAAAGAGGTTGCTGGATGGGTCGTGGGACTTTCTCCTGCAGCCATCCCAGAAGGGGGTGGCCTACAACGGAAATCCTCCGTCTCCACGAACGGACGCTCACGCGGGACAAAGGGTCAAGCAACGAACAAACAATCAGGGAGGAAGGGCGGAAGACGAAAAAGAATGGAGAGAGAAGAGGGCATCGCAGTTGCTATCCTACAAGTCCCGGTTCCGGCGTCAGCTCTTTGCTGACTTGAGAGTCCATTACCCTCCACATTTCTTTTCTTCCCCTTTACACTCGCTTCTTCTGACCTCGTCGCAACCCGTCAGAAGTCAATCAATCCCATATGCGACATGGGTTTCGGAATATGCTCAGCAGAGCTCATGCGCTGTGGAGAAGGGAACCCGGGGAATGAGGGTAGCATCTAGAGTGTTGCTGGCTCATACACTCCCGCTCATGCTCATTCTCATCACCCTCTCTGCAGTCACCCACTTACTCATTTGCTTATCATCATAAGCAGCAGCAAGATCGTCAATTCCGCCATTCGTCCCGCGCACACACTCTCTCACTGACTCAGTTACTCGTTTGATTTGCTGGTTCATCGGCTTGCGCTGCACGTCTGCCTTGCAAGCCGTGTTTTTCTTTGGCTGCGACCCGTCCGTGTGTCACGGATATATGATTCTCGAGGCTCTTGTTAATTCTATACACAATGTAATAATGGTCATGTCGAAAATGGGAACTAGCAGGATACACAGGCACGAGCATGCACGCAACCAAGCAAGCAAACTCAGCCATGCCAGGGGAAAAGAGAAGAGAGGGGAGATGGGGGAGGGAGGGGGGCCAGAGCTGCATCGAGTGACTGGCTGAAGCTAGGTTCAGCTCTGGTCTCCGTACAGCTGGTTGGTTACCGGCGGACGGAGAGGTTGCTGCTGTGCCACGCGGGTTCGCCAAGTCTACTGGAAGTTGGGTATCACACCGTTGGGAAACCCTTCTTCATGCAGTGGACCTGGCGTCAGCGCTGACCACCGACCACTGCGAGGAGCGGCCGCATCCGCTGCCAGCTCGGGGGATGACTGCGTCTGCGTCTGCGTCTTGTATTGTATAGTATCCGTAGATTAGCCTGTGTTTGGTGTCTGGAGTATAGGTAGGGCTTAGGTTGGGGACTATCGAAGCATAAGCGAACTTGATTTATTCCTCCATACACACCGGCTCGGTACATGAACGTGTACGTGTCCTACTGAGTTCCTCGCTCTGCCATCTTGCAGCGGCGATCACCCGCGCCCTGTACCTTTTCTTGTTTCTGTGTCGCAATATCGTACGTACACTGCCTTGGCATCTTGTCTCGGTCCTGGTCTTGCTGCTGCTTCACATACAGTACTTACAGTCCCCTGCTTGGCCTTGCTTGGTGGTCTCGACCATGTGCTTGGTATCAGCTACCTACCGGTAGCTGTGGACAATCTGGAATATACTGTCGCCAAACCGTCCCAGCCAAGGCGTCATTACTGTTACCTGGGCTGCGCTGGGCCTGGATTGGCATAGTAGTCCTGCTACTGCTTAGTCCACCTCTTCATCATTCGCATTATTGACGACACAGGCCCTCGACCAATCCGACCGCGGCCGACAAATACAAAAACTGGACACTCCACGTGAACGTTGTCGGAGGAGGAGTGAAACAGCGGCGAACACTACTGCTCATCAGGTCTTGTTTCAAGTTGCGCATAGGCCAATGGCTGCTATCTTCCCCTCACTGACTACTACCCAAGAGAGGGGGCGTTCTAACCGACTTCATGCGAGTTTCTGTTAGTGTAGATCGTCACCGATCCTGCTCCATGTACGCTACCTTGGACGCTACCTTGGAATAAATAAGCCGCTGTGCCTCCCACGTGCAGGGAATGTTGCTCTTAGCTTTGCTCACTGCTACTCAAAAAACGTGCGAGCGTTGCATTCTCGATGCGACCCCCCAAGTTCCTCATTAATGGCTTCGTTGCCGCCGATATACTTTCCCCGCGCCGTCATTTGAGAGCATACAATCTCCATCGGGGTTTTCCTCAATAAGAGAAACACAGTATATAGTTGGATCTCGTCTACGAACTGAATCTTTAAACGAAATAAAAAAGGAATCTACATGCGCCGTACCAACGCCCCTTGAAGCCGCACGCGTCGGGTTTTTTTTTTCTTTTTTTTTTTTTTTTCTATTTTAATTACAAGAGTTCGCTCTCCCGCCGTAATCGGGCAACCTGGTACCTTTACGCTCTTGTACCTAGAGCCGAAAAGTTGGGGACTGCGTACCCTGCAGATCACAAGCTTCTCTGCATAGCTATTTCTACGTACATACAGTACGACGGAGACCACGGTTCTGGTTATCTTTCATGCACCGCGGGTTCATGCACCATGGTATCTCCCCTTGCGTGCATATGTAATACGTAAGCTAGTATGCGGTTATAACAGGGCATCATAAAGGCAGCCTAGTCACAGTATCCATCGGCCACTTTGTTTAACTTTTCTTTCTCCAGACGGACTATGCAACTGGGTACAGTGCACAGTACTTTTGCCAACGAAACGTCATGAGTATCTGAAACTCTCGGAGCGGACGACGTCGGGAGATATTACCATCTTGCTCGCCTTTTCCCTGCTTTCCATCATTGACCACTTTACGACATTCCTGGCTAGGATCACCTGCGCGCGGCAAGGACCGGGGAATCAGGGGCGCTAGCATGTGGCATGGGTAAAAATCCCGTCCACCAAGAAATTATCACAACCCTAGCCTTGATCTTGTACACCAGGTATAGATACATACACTTTCCACTTGCTCCGTGTTAGGCTCCTGTTAGACCTAATGTGCGTCTAGTTTCTATTTGACACTTTCGTGGGCCCTCTAAACTAGGAGTTGCCCCGTCTTACTCACACCTGGGGCTCTATGGACACGGAGATACTCAATTTATTCCGAACTTATATGCTGTCAGCAAACTAGAGTTGAAGGATCGAAGGATCGAAATGTTCTCTGGCGTGGGTACGGGCTCAAGCTGACCGCCGGGCTGACCATTGGCGAATGCCAACCATGGTTGGTTGATTGGAAGAGTTGGAGTGGTCCGTATGTTCCAACGATGGCCTCCATGTAAGACTATACCGGGTAATGTATCAACTTCAAACTTCATCACTACAGACAAGTGAGCCTAAGTAGCATCATCGGATGCATATGAAACTCCCCAGATGTTGCTTAGGCGGCCTATGTCTTGACTAGTATGAAAGGGTTACTGTCCCGACTGGGTAAAGAGACGGCTAGAGCCGGGGTGCCCTTGAGCGGCGTGCACCCTGGTAGTAACGGTATCCGAACCCCGGATGGATGATGTCTAACTTAGCTAGCGAAGAACGAACCGCGACACGACGTATCCTGGGACTGGCACAGAGAGAAGAGCAACGACGGATTCCCTAATTAGCAACAATTAAGATTTGTCCACGTAAACCCGACGTTGTTTCTGTATGCAGATTAGAGAGAGAGCGTTTGTTTCTACATAACGTAACTGTCTGAACAGGTGATCATTCGAACCCATCACTCATTGTATGAGGACAAATTCGTAATTCTTGATAATACGGTATGTCAAGTTTCTCTTACCCAACAGGCCTATCCGGTTGTTACTGTCAAGCTACGTACCAAGTATACTCACAGCGCGCGCTAGACCATGCATTAGTAAGAAGGTATTTAACGGGCCATGAGAATTTCTATCATTAGAAAAAACCACGCATTAGCGGCATACTTCCTTGGCATGGCGTAAGTAGTGCGCTTTCGGCGCTTGGTTAGGTACTGTACCTACATGTGTGCCAGGAAGTGTATGTGTTAGAATTCCGCACACCACTTCAGAAAAGACCAAGAAAGACCCATGGCTGCGGGGACCCGTCAGGGTTGTTGTTGGCATTCGATATGGCTGGGAGGATTTCACCGGATCAATGACCGGATGACAAGGGGTCCGACGAAGCTATATTTTCGTCATGGCTCATTTCTTTTTTACCGTTTCCGGCAAGATTCTAGAAGAGACGAGTGAGAAGCGCTAGAAGCTTTCGAGGCCCCACTGTCTCAAGAGAAGATGAAACGAAATTTGATGAGGATCTGAGGAACTAGATCCTTTCCCCCTCGCCGGGCTGGGTCATCCCACCTCGGGGGGGGGGGGGGGGGGGGGGTGGCGAATTTTGCCAACACAGGGTGCCCCGGTAGTTATTAAAACCCAACGAACCCACAAACATTGCCCAGCAGTACCAGGTTGCAAAATTTTAC